AATTTAGATACTAGATTGGTACTAAGGTTTTTTTTTTTTTTTTCGGATACATGAGAATGATTTTTACATCCATTTCAATCATGGTAACCTGTGACATTGACAAACTATGTTTAAATTAAAGGAATATCTACCAATTTAAAAAATCAGATCAGTGTTACATAGACTAATCAGAGAGGGAGACTGATCACTGTCTTCAGTAGCATCATCATCATCTTATTTTGTTTTACAGTGGGACTTCCCCGCTCGCATGTCTGAATGCAATGCTACATACAAATTCCCGAGGTGAAGAAGGCATCTTCTATAAAGTTCCAGGTAGAATGGGAGTGTATACTTTGAAGGTAAATATTTCTGTTGGGAAGTTATTTAAAAAGAAAAAATAAAAAATGAAACCATAAATAATACTTGAGTTATACAGACAGAATTCTGTTCTTGAAGCACTGATTTTCATTGAAATAAGTCTATCAACTCTCTAACGTGCACACATACAATGTCTGTCTGTCTGTTTGCTTTTGGATGCTGTGGATGAATCAAGAGCCTCATGCACGTCATGCACGTGCCTTACCAGGCCTCGTGTGTGTGTGTGTGTGTGTGTGTGTGTGTGTGTGTGTGTGTGTGTGTATTTTTTCTTTTTACGAATCTATAGGTCGACCAGAGAAGTAATTATTCCTTATGATAGTATTGTCCTGAAAGAATGAAATAAAAATGATCTCTGGTGCTTCTTGTTAAAAGATGGGTCTTGCTATGTTGTTCTGGCTCTGAACTCCTGGGGCTCAAGAGGATCCTCCCTGGTAGCTGGGAGTAATTTTTTTTTTTTAATCAAGGCTGGGTATCACATGTTGCTCTGACTAGGATCGAACTTGAACCCTTTTCCCTCCCAAGTAACTTGGATTATTGTACCATGCTTTCTAGCCTCTCCAGTGATTTTAAAGAACTTTGTACCATTTGAATAATTATAGGGTGTTATGATGAACCATACTGTCTAGAAGCTATACATTACTATTTCATTAGTTCTCTGATATAACATAATTGTGATTATTGTTTTTTTAATGGAAAAGTATCAAAGTTAAGAAGATTGAATTGCTCTTGAGTAGTGTTGGCCAGTCCATATCAGAACTAGAATATCAACCCAGATATAACTTTAACTCCCAAACCCATCTTTTCCACTTTACAACACACAGGCTAATATCTTAATTCCTACACTAAAGTGACTCTTGCTTATCAATATCCTTCAGTTACAAGCAGTCAAAACAGCTCTGAATTAGTGGGCATGAGACAGAATTTACCATCTCATGAAACAAAATTCTAGGGGAATCAGGCTAGATCAAGGTACTCAAGTGATATCTCCGTTCTCTTTTGGTTGACTTTCTTCTTTCCCCATCATATATGTCTTTTAACTTCAGTCCTCTTTCTGCATACTACAAGCCTGAAAAGAGAAAAATCCAGGGTTTGGTTTAGTTGGTTGGTTAATGTGGCCATCCCTGAATAATGGCTGTTGGCAAATGTATGGTTTCTTCTGACTGACTGGCTGGTATTCAGATCATGATCATCCCTGATGTGAGGTTGCGATTAAGCCCACTCCAGACAGGTGAACTAAGGAAAGAAATTGTTGTCCAAGATAAGTTTATCAGGAGACAGAACAAATGTTTGGCAGGCAATGACAATGTCCACGTCTGTGAGAGACTCTGTCTCTTCTTAGCTTTATAGCTCCAAACTGTGGTCATTACTGTCCTCTGTAATTGTGTTTAGCCTATTAACATTAAAAAGATCTAAACTGCCTATATTGCCTCCTCTGTTTAACTTTGTGAAGTTAAAAGTCTTATTCCCGCATAAGACTTTTTGTTTTGAGACTTTATCTGTGTTAGAACTTCATCATTTTAATAACAACCATGAGGTATCTACTCCATTGGCGCTCTAAGAAAAAAATCCAAAATGTACACTTAGTGTAATACTTTTATGGGGTTTTCTCCCCACATACCAAGCACTTCTCCAGCAAACAACAGCTGGGTACGCTGATTCAAGTCAGTTCTTACACTGTCCATCTGGAAATGGTGTGTCAGATTCCACAAATGGAGGGCTGTATTCCCCCAAGACAGACTCGCTCCCCACTGTCTCCGGTCCAGATCTCAGTTACAAGTTCCAGGTGGTAACCTGTAATTCTTAAAGATGTTATAATGGGGTTCCCATAACCGTCTTCTTAGATTTGACTAATTTGCTAGGACAGCTTACAGAAATTAAACACTTTACTTTTATTTACTGTTTGTCCTTTTATTGGGGGGGGTGTTGGTTTTTGAGGTGTCGTCTCATTGTGTAGAGACCAGGCTGGCCTCCAACCCATGGTGATCTTTCTGCCTCAGCTTCCCAAGTGCTGTGGGATTACAGGCATATTTCATTAGGCCCAGCCATTTACCTGGTTGTTTTTTTTTAAATAGAGATATTAGGAAAGGTATAGATGAATAGCAGATAGAAGAGACACAGAATGAGGTGTGGGAGAAGGGGTATGAAACATCTGGGCCCTTTGGGAGGGCCATCCTCAAGGCATTCACCTGTGCTCAGCTTATCTGGAAGCTCACCTGAACCCCAGGCCTCTTGAGATTGTATGGAGGTTTCATTAGGTGGTATCATTGGCCAGTGCTGATCTGTTCTGTGCTTTCTCTGCTCCTAGGACGTTGGGCTGAAAGTTCCAGCACTGTCATCTGGAGTAATCCAGTGTCATCTCACTTAAGTAAAAGGTGCTGCTGTCACCCAGGAGATCCCAAGGGGCCTAGGAGCTATGTCAGTCCTGTAAATTACAGGGGTCTTAGAAACTGTGTCTCAGGAAACGAGATCAGAGAGCAAGTATTAGAAAGAAGTCTTCTGGTACCGTGGTTGCTCAGGAAATTGTATGAGTTTTGGAGCTGCATGTCAGGAACAGAATGGAGACCAAGTAATAGATTTATGGTATTACTAGTGTATACTATTATACTATGTTATATTAGTGCTATGTGATGAACTACTGTGACAGTGATGTAAAATAAAAACTAATTTTGAATAAATTTTAAAACTTTGATATTATTGTTAGCTTATACGGTTTAAACTGGGCTTTTATCAAATAAGTAGTGGGAGTAGAAGCCTTCTTGAACATAAAAATAGCTCAAGCAAATGTTATTCATTGAAAGTAGAGAAAATTAGAATAGTTAGACCATTGTGTGTGAGCTTCTTTAAGGCATCCGAATATGTAAACATTAGATAAACCAAAGTTTGGAGCATTTGAACCTGACTGAGCTGTTTTGGCGCGTGTGCGTGCGTGCGTGCGTGCGTGCGTGCGTGCGTGCGTGTGTGTGTGTGTGTGTGTGTGAGAGAGAGAGAGAGAGAGAGAGAGAGAGAGAGAGCGAGCACGTGAGCACACAGAGGTTTTCCAGAACAATGTAATCCAATGATTTCAGAGTGAAGCAAGAAAAAGGTGGTTATAGTTGTCTGGAGTAAAAACTGGGCCACTAAACTAAGAAAGTGGTAAAGGAGCTGGAATAAGAGACGTTACAGAAACACCACGCGCCACTTTTGGAGTGGGTGAGCGTGGTGGATTCTGAGATTTGGGACATGAGCAGATGATCCCAGGATCCCAAGTTTTTTACAAAAAGAAGTTAATTATATTTGTATTTCAGATACTTGTTGAACCTACAGGTCAAGATACCTGGCTGACAACTAACTATAAAAGCTGTCCTGCATTTTGAAGGAAAGAATAGAAAAATATGGGGTCTGTATTTTAAGAAAGTGTGTAACATAAGGGATGACTTGAAGAGAAATGGCACTAGGATATAAATTCAAGTGGAAAAATTGTTACTTATCACAGTATATGATACTGTCTGTAATGTCACTTGACTGTCACTTATGTAGGAGGGTCATATTTTGTTTTTGTCAGAATTATTTTTTCAATTTAATTTGAAATTATATGGTAAAATGGGAAAAAATTTGTAAATGTAACTTAGAAACAACATTCTGTAATCTGTATTCACACATGTATATCTTTATAGACAACATAAATTTATAGTAACATTTTTTGAACTTTTATGCCAGCATTTTATATTAATTAAGTCATTTAATTTCCAAATGATTGTTTTTTGAGGAAATATTGTTATCCCCACCTTATAGTCAGGGAAACTGAGCCAGGAGAGGTTAATGCTTTGACCAAGACTAGGCAGTTAGAAGATAAAGCCAGAAAGTTTTGTTTTCCTAATTCTTGATCTTACAATTACTCTGTTTATGTAGTAAGCTGACACATTTGTGCTTTCTGGTTAGCAATGTCATTATTAAATTCTAAAACGAACAAGATTGATAAGATTTTTAAACACATTCCTTTTTCTGACTTTGGATAGTTATTAACAAGTATCTAGGAACCATTTAGAATATAATCGTGTACTGTCTCTTGCCATCCTGCCTCCAGTTGTCTAATTTAATTCAGAATAGTGGTACTTACACAGATATACATATATTTAATGACATTAAATCCTAAACACGTCATTTACTTGAGCTGAGATCTGGCCCATATTTGTCTAATTTAAGGCTATGTATTGTACGTGTATACAAAGGTTATGTATAATTTTTATCCTTGAATATAGATGGAAGCATTTATTTGGTCCAAGAAAGAGAAATGACAGGAAATTAGAAAATATTGCTAGTTCTTCTACTATGTCTTATAATACTAAAAATTAGTCAGTACAATTAAGTTGCAACCTTGCATATCAGAATTTCATTCCTATTTGTATTATGTTAATAATTAATCCTAATTGGATGCCTGCATTTTCAGAAAGATGTGCCGGATGGGGTGAAAGAGCTTTCAGAAGGTTCAGAAGAAAGCAGTGATGGTCAGTCAGATTCCCAGAGTTCTGAGAACAGCAGCAGCAGCAGTGATGGTGGCAGCAACAAAGAGGGAAAAAAGAGCAGGTGGAAAAGGAAAGGTAAATCTACCTGACCCTTTCATAACATTCTGAGTGCTGTGTAGAACAAACACCCTCATTAGGAGCTTCTCTCTCCCCAGACCCCAGGCCAGCCAGGCTCTTGCCTTTACCCCTAATTGAGTATTTCTAATAGTTCCTGTAGTGAAAAATATTGTATTTATACTGTCCAACACAACACATGCCACATGGACATGATTAGTGTGACCCAGGAATTACATTTTTCTTTTTTAGGGCAGCTTTAGGTTCACAGCAAAACTGAGTAGAATGTACATAAATTGCCCACACTCCCTGTCCCTGCACAGGCATCTCCTTGTCCGCTTTGAAGATTCCCTGCCAGTGTGGTACTTTTGTTACAGTTGATGAAACTACACTGGCACATCATTACCCCCAGAATCAGGGCCGTGCACACTAAAGCACTGAACAGATACGATAATGCATGCGGACATGAGGCATGTGTTTACCATGATAGTACTACACAGAAAAGTTTCACTGTCCTAAACATCTTCTGTCCTCCATATGCAACACTCTCTTTCTAACTCTTGGGAGCCACTGAGCTTTTTTTTTTTTTACTCTCTTCATAGTTTTGCCTTTTCCAGACTGCCAAATAGTTGGAACCTTTTCATACTGGCATCCTATATTACTAATAATGGCATTTGAGATTCCTCCATGCCTGTTGATGGCTTGATCCATTTCTTTTTAGCACTGAAGAATACTCTATTGTTTGAGTGAACCCCAGTTTATCCATTTTCGTATTAAGGTCACAATGATTGTGTCCATATTTTGGCAATTAAAAATAAAGCCATTGTAAACTACTGTGTGCAGTTTTTGCATGGGCGTAAGTTTGCATTTCCTTTTGATGCATACAAGAATGTGACTGTGGAATTATATGCAAGGAGTATGTTTAGTTTTATAAGAAATAATCAGACATCACTAAAGTGGCTTTTGCATTCCCACCGGCAGGCAATCAATTTTGTTGTTATACATCATCGTCAGCATTTGGTGTTGTCCATGCTGTAGTTTGGCCACTCCTGTAGGTGCATATTTATTTTAATTTGCATTTTCCTGATTGTGTGTGATGTACAACATCTTTTTGTTCATCTTATTGAACATCTTTTTGAACATCTTACTGTTCTTTAGTGAGATGTGTTCAGGCCTTTGGTTCAGTTTTTTCCTTTTTTTTTAATGTGGTATTTCAAGCATTCTTGGTATATTTCAAGTAATATTCATTTATTAGTTTTCATATATTTCCTTCAAAACCATGACTTTTTATTCTATTGTCACTTTTTTTGCCAGGCAGTCACTGACCACCACTGAGCCAAATCCCTGGCTCTCTTGTCACTTTTTTTTTTGCACAGAGCAGAAGCTTTAAATTTTAATGCAATCCAGTTCTTTTGTGGATTGTGTCTAAAATACTACCTCCAAACCCAGGGTAACCTAGGTTTTTTACCTGTTACCTGCTAGGAGTTTTATAATTTTATATTTAGTTCTGTGATCCAGTTCTAATTTGTTTTTAATGTAGTACTGGAGGTGGAACGCAGAGTGCTGAGCTGTATCTCTCTCTCCCATTTTTAAAGATAGTCTCACTGTGTAGCCAGGGTTGATCATGAACTCTCAGTCCTCCTGCCTCAGTTTCCTTTTTGTTCTGCATTTCAGGCACAGGCCACCATGCAGCTTCCTTTTTTCATTTTAATTTGAGATGGGGTCTTTCTAGGTTTCTGCAAATGATCTCCAACTCGTGATCCTCTTGTCTCAACTTCTCAAAAGGCAGGGATTGTAGATATATACTAGTGTGCTCAGCTTTGAGTTACTTTTTGTGAGAGATACGAGATCTGTGTCTAGGTTTATTTTTGTCTAGTCAGAAACTGAATTTTTAACTTAAATAAGCAGATGTGTTTAGGAGTATTTCAGGTTTTACCTTGGTTTTCAGCCCTTAGTTGTCTGTAACCTTTTTAAAGAGTTCTTATTTAATTTCTTGTGCTTACTATGCTAACAGCTCTCCTCTCACTAACAGAAGAATGCTTTTCATTCCCAGTAGCAAATAGCAAATCCAGTTTATTTCTTTTTGTTCTCATACCATTTGGTGTCTGCTTCATAACTCTCCCTAAAATCTTTCTTTAGGAGATGTCTGTATTGCAACAACTTCCCTAGAAAGAATTTTCCAGTTGAGACTACACTTTATTACTTATTCCTGTCAATTTTTCTGTAGTTTCTTGTCAGGATCTCTTTGAAGAGGCCAAATTTTTTTAATCCCAATATTTATAATTTATAAAAGTTGAACTCTCAAATGCATGTTACTAACTCAAGGCAACTTTCGTTTTGTTTTGTTTTTGGTACTGAGGATCGATCTCATAACCTCACACTTGCCAGGCGCAGGGATTTAGGCCACTGAGCTAAATTTCCAGCCCTCAAGGCAAGTTTTGAGTCAAATCTTGAGCCCTTTATAAAGAACTGATATTTCTGAGTAAAATAGACATTCAAGATTTTTGATTGCTTAAATGTCCTCTTTGATTTGAGTAATAGGTGAGCTGTCTTTGCATCTAGAAGCTAAGATTATGCCTCCAGGAGTATTAAGCACATTACTTTTGAATGCCTCTGAACTCTTAATATGGCTGTATCAAAAAAATCGTTCTGATTCTCTACCATACTTGTGCTAATGTGTGTGTGCTATTCTTGGAAAGAACTGAGATTGTTGGCCTCATCTTTGCTGTTTGTATAGCTACTAGATACACAGTTTGGTCAAATCTAAAGTCAAAAGATCATAGCTTTAAGATCACAGCCACTTGGAGAGTCATCCAGTCCTCAATTGTTAGGGATAAATGAATTGAGAACAAGACAAAGTAGCGACCTCTGTCCATAATTTTTTTAAATTTTGGTTTTTTTTTTTTTTTTTTTTTGGAGATACAGTCTCAAGCTCACTATGTGACTGAGCCTGACCTTGATTTTTGATTCTCCTGACTAGCCTGCTGAGTATCTAAAATCCTTGATGTGTAAAGCAGTCCCAGTCAATAGTGGAAGGAGGTGTGTGCTCCATGGCCCTCAGGGTCAGTCAGGCACCTGGTTTGGAACAGTAAAGCTAAAAGTGAAAGAGACTTTCTTTTCGCTGCCTATCCTTAGATTAAACTTTTTAAGTGTAGAAATTAGAGATCTAAGATTGGGAACCAAACCAAGCCATCAGGCAAAGGAAACTGTTAGCAAGATTGATATTTTCTAGATAGGATTTGAAGCGGGAAATCACTATTAAAAGAGGCTGGTGTAGTAAACTTCCTGAGAATACAGTGGGAGTCCTCGATTTCTATGTGCTGTAGAAGTCATTTAAATAGTAACTGTTGCCATTGTATTCGGCTCAGAGCTAATAGTTACTAGTGGTTCTCCTTAAGAATTTGGAGTAACCCCCATGTTACTAGCTTAATAACTAGATTCAAATAGCATAATGCTCATTCTACACTCTGCATAATAATAGAAAACATTAACCGGAAGGTAATGGCGAATGCAGAATTTTTCTGGACTGTCTTTGATGCGTTTCTCTCCTAGAAATCATCACTATATTGGTTATTCATCTGTAGAACACAGTAAGGTGGAATGTTTTATGAAAGTCTTTTCTGACTATAGGTAGCCTATTAAACTTAGAGAAGTTTGGAGGCTGCAGTGGGAGGTGCACATGTCACAGTAGTTCATATCTGTTTCAGCAGCAGTGATATTCCCAGGAAATAGATAAATGCCAAGCTAAAAAAATTATTTAGTCTCTGGTTTGTGGGTCATTTGTTATGGTACAGATATCTATGTTTTTTAGGTCTGTATCATATATTTATAAATGCTTTTGTAGTCCAATAGAAGTTATTACAAGAGATGTGTTTTGACATTTTGGGGGGCTTTTTTTCTCTTTGAAATAAAACATTTTTTAAAAAAAGAAAGAACAGACTTATGGCCAGCAGTGTGATAGCAGCAGCATGCAACAAGGCAGTTCTTAATCTGTTGCAGTTATCAGTAAAGCAAATAATTGTGCCTCTTTTATTTTCTTATTTAGCACTTTTATTCTTAATGTGACATCACTTTATTTCAAGTACATTGTAAGACAGGAAGAACATTGAGATAGTATCAAAACCCACTTCCTTTTATGTACAAAAATAAAGAGCTCTTAACTGCAAAACTGATACTTTTAGCTGAAAATTGATAGAAATTCTCTTGATATATGTATACCTTTGAGCAAAATAGGAACAGAGAATAGAGTGTTGAAATTTAGTTCAGTATTAAACTAACTTACTGATATCTGTATAAACAGAGAAACTTTGAAGTTTCTGGTTTTGGTTCTTAGTTTTCAGACAGGAAGCAATGTTCAGAGAAGAGCTTTATGGAATTCCAAACCAAGGTAAGGTGGAGTCACTCCAAAGAGATGATTACTGAAGTCAGTGCTTTCTGTTGCTTTTTTATGCTCATAGCTAAGTTAAGTTTGCTTTTTCCCCTGAATAAAATATTGCAGCATAAAGCAACTACAGGAGTTGTATTCATTTTTACCTCCTGATACAAAAGTTATTAGATTTTGATCTGCCTTTAGAATGTCTAAAGAAAATTATTAAGTAAAACTCTCTCTTCATTGTGAGTGATCACTAGTTATTTCTAGGAGCCTGAACTATTGTGCATTTACTGCTTATTCAGAGTTACTTTAAATCAGGAATTTGATGTATATTGTATCTGGAGTTACTGAAAATACCATAGACCCATATATCTTGATAGCATTTATGTATGTGTTACAGAATGGGGAGGATTATGTCTCCTTTCATGGTATTCTGGAAGAAGAACTCCTGATAGAGTTAACCAAGGTAGAAAGGCTTCAGGAGATGTTCTTTTCTCTCAGTGGTGATAGCTGAGTTGCAGGTTTTAACTGTGTTATATTAAAGATGGCTTCATGAACAGGGCTGGGATAGCGACGATACCCAGAACCAAGAAGTTCAGGTGTGGCCTTCCCTGTTTGGTTAGGGACTGAGTGTGATCAGTAACCAGAGTGCCCATTAAGAGGGAGAAGAGGAGACTTAAGATTAAAACAAGTCTGCTACTTCTATAAATTAATTTCCCCTTTAAAAATTTCCTTAAAGAAAGACTACTTTAATAAGCCCTCCCCCTCAAGAGAAGTCATGCTGTTTTTAAAGCCTAAAACGATTTTCAAGACTCACTCATTTCCAGTCCTTCAGTAATCACTTGCAGCTACACGTAAGTTTTGTTTCACTTTTGTTGTTACTGCTGCAGTGTTTCTGATCATGTCCCGAATACTGGAGACCTGTCAGATGCCTTCAGAAGAAAGTAAAATTTTAAAATAGTGGTTACTTACCAAAGCTTTTAATTCGAATGAATCTGATATTCAGAGTTTATATATTTTTCATCTTTTCAAAATTACAGTCATCTGTGGGAATGCAAAATTCTCAATTGTTTAATCTTTCTGAAAAGTGACCTGAAACTACATTAGTAAGCTATGTAAAATGACTTTGATGAGCTTTAGGTTCTAAATTTTGTTTTAAGTCTTTTCCCGAAAACGTTACTTAAGATTAAGAAATCATTTGTTGTGATGTGTGTGGCACTTGCCTGTAATTCCACCATTTATGAGGCTGAAGCAGAAACATCGCCTCAAGTTCAGGGTCCACCTGGGCTACATAGTGAGAGCCTGTCTGGGAAAACAAAATAAAAATGACCATCATTTGTGTACTATATTACAGATATTTTGGTTTTTTAAAAAATTAAGTATTTGTAATTACTGATGTTTTGGTCAGAATTTTTTAGTCTTTTCCTGTCAAGTTTTGTTGCTAATCAGATAAAAATATGTTCTGAAATAATTCTTTTTGTCTGTTGAACAATCTGTATTAGAAGACAAATTATAACCTTGAAAAGCATTGTTTAAACTATTAATTTATTTATAACAGCCAAAGTAATATTTCTGTAGACTTCTCGCTGCACTCATTTTTTCAGTACGGAATTTGAAAACACAGTTGACGAAGGTAGGACCCCTGCCCTTAAAGTTGCTTTTCTCAAGATGTCTGGAGGGGTTTGGTGGGGAGTGGGCGAAAATTAGCAAATGACTTTATACATTACATGTGTTCATTATATTATGGCAAATTGGAAAAGGATTGCTTCGTTAACATTTCCTGGATTATTAACTATTGTATGAACATCGGAGAGTTTTTAGATAATGTGCTGTGGGAGTTAATCAGTAGGAAAGCCGTTATATATCATAGAAAGAAAGCATAAAACCAAGAAGTGAGGATACGTACAGTGTTTCCAGGGAGCAATAAGAAGATAAGTTTGAGAATAGTAATCTGTAGAGGGAAAGGGTTCTATAGTTAGAGACCTTTTGCTTTCTTGCTTCCCATTCGTGTGTGTGTGTGTGTGTGTGTGTGTGTGTACTCTGTTTTTTAAAGTTTTATATGGACTCTTTTTTTTTGTTCTCTTTTTTGGTGGTGGGGTATTACTGCATGTTGGGAACTAGAAAAGGGAGGAAAATTTGTGTCGTAGGATGTTGACTCCTTGTGATTAAGTTTCAGCTTTAATATCCAGTGCTCGTATTTACTCCTGTTATTTACCTTAAGTGATTTAGACTCTGTCTCTGTGTTCTACGAAATTATTTTTATAGCAGCACCCACAGATTCCGTCCTACACCACTTCCGTATTAGAGTCCTCACAGCTCATTTTCCCCCTCGTCTGTTCTCTGTGCACACTGTGTGCTTGTTCTGAAATGAAGTAGGTGAGGCGGGATGAGAGAAGGGGAGGTGGTTGGATGCGGAGTATCAGGCACTCAGGAGGGGACTAAGCGGGAAAGAGAAAAGGGGAGGCGGGCTCTGAGTATATTGCAGTACTTCTAGTTGGATTGAATGGTTAGTACTGCAGGTTTTCACAGGATATTTTGGGGGCAAGGTCAAGACAAGGGAGAAGGGGTTGGTGTCACAATTGAAGAAAGCTAAGTGATTGTCAGGACTGGCTGGTGAGAACTGGAAGCTAGCTAAACTACGGAAGAGCAGAAGGCTTCAGGCAGGAGGTTCAAGGAATAATGCTAGAGAAGACAGGCGTGAGTGAGGAAGCCAAGTGTGCAGAATTAAAGACTTGGGCGGAAAGTGGCCATGGGTGGGGGAAAATAAATGCATTACTGTCTTGGGGGTTCAAGGTGACGAAACTAGATAGGAAGCTGAGGCGAGGAGAGAAGCTGAATGTCTGTCAAATCAGAACCAGTGAAAGCCAGTACACAAAGTAGCAGCCTGATAAACACAGGAAACCATAAAAGAACACAACATAACCCCACATTAGTAAATAAATCAAGAAAAGTACAAAAAAGGAAACCTGTAAGATGACGATGGTAACAGACATTAAATACTCCTCTGCTCTGTGGTATGGGAAGGCGCAAATAGGAGGGGGCAAGGGACCCTCGTGACGGTCAGGGTACGTTACATGTTAGAGGGGATGACAGGGAAACCTGGGCGCGGAGCTGTCCCTGAGAAACGGGGATGGGAAAGATTCCTGACCAGTATAAATAAATGGTGGGGCCAGAGTTAAAAGGAGACAAATAAAAAAAGGGTGAGATCTCAGAAAGAAAAGAAAAACGGATAATAAATAAGACACAGGAGAATGAAGTCAGGCAGAGCGAGAGGGATGGAAGTCCGAGGATGCAAAGGGACAGGGAGCATTCCCGCACCCTCTGTAGTCTGTGTGGGGAGAAAAGGGAAGGAGGGACGTACACACTCGGGACATGCGCGGAAAAGGAGACGGTAACAGGCTGGAGGGGGGACGGCGGCACCTGTAACCCTAGCACTTGGGAGGCTCGGCAGGAGGATGGCTGCGAGTTCAAGGTCAGCCTGGGCTGCGAGGTGAGTGCAAGGCCAGCCTGACCTGAGCAGCGGAGCCCAGTCTCAAAAGACCAAAGAAAGGAAGAATGATGGAATAAAAGTGTGGGGGAATATACATAGGAAGAAAACAGCAATTTTTTTTAATTTTAAAAAATAAAAATTGAAGAAGTAATACAGTCAAAGAATAATAAGAGAAAGTTATTGTGGGTGCAAGGCTCTTTCTGCTGCCTAGGGTTAAGGGGCAGAGCTAGGCCCGGATCCGGCTCTGTTCACGCAGGCAGTCTAAGGTGCCGTCAGCCGCAGCATGGTGCCTGGTGGCGAGATCTGCTTCCAGTGACAGCAGGGCGCCAGTGTGAGGTCCAGTCCTCTGTAACTCCGCCGGAAGCTGGCCTCTGAGCACAGCAGTGTGGTCTGTGCTCGCCATCTCAGCAGGACTCTCCCCAGTCTACTCCCCACCTGCCGGGACTCCCCCCAGTCTGCTCTGTACCTGCCGCCAGCCTCATCCCCTCGGGGAACTCGGCAGTGTGAGGCAGCCACGGGGCTACTGTGCGCTACAGGTCCAAACACAGCCCTTCTCTGCAGTGGCATCCCTGGCTCTGGCTCCTAGATGCTTGTACCGAGGTCACTCGCCAGCTGGCCGCTGTGGAAGGCTGCTCTGGAAGCAGTGTCCCGAGTTTCCTTGCTGGTTCCCCTGCAGGTGATTCTTTCAGTCTTATTGTAGCTCTCCAGTTCTCTGAGCAAAACAGTTGTCAGTTTCACTTTGCCTCCCAACTGGCAGCTAGCCAGGCAGTGTAAGCAGCACTGTGTGGGCTCCCCTCAACCTGTATTCTATTTCTTTTGCATCCTTAATCCTATTGTCTTCTCCCCTATCAGTTCCCTCATGATTCCTGAGTAACCTCCACTCACTTAAGTTCTTCTCCCGAGTATTGTTTTCCAACTCCAGACACTGTCCTGGAGAAGGTAATTTGCTGGCACTTATTACTACACCGTTTTGGGACACTGCTACTAAGTAGACTTGTTTTTCCTTTTCTGGGGATTGAATTTAGGGCCGCATATGACAAGGCAAGTGCTCTACCTCTAAGCAACATCCTCAGTCTTAATATTTGTTTAAAAAAAAATACAGCAAAAACAAAAAAAATGTTCAACATCACTAATCAGGGAGATGCAAATCAAAAGTACCTTGAGCTACCACCTCACCCCATCCTTTCTATTTTGTACCTTTAAGATAGAGCTTATAGGGTCAGGGATACAGCTCAGAGGCACACTACCTGCCTGGCAAGCATGGGGTCCTAAGTTGGATTTCCCATTACCAAAAAAAGAACTTTTAATATTGTAGTTTTTAATATTGTAATTTTAATTGTAATTATTGTAATATTGTAGTATTTAATATTATAATTTTAAAACTTCTACTTATATGAAGGATAGAATTTCGTATCTTGAAGACAATTGCAGCTAGTAATCATGAAAAGAAAGATCTTAAAAATAGCAAGAGACCATGAGAATCAATTGAACAGCTACAAAATGAAGCAAAGAACAAGATTGATGGGGTCAGTGAGAAAGGTGGAGACAGCACAAATGATATAACAATCAAATATATATGCACCTAGTACAGGGGCATCCAACTATGTAAGACTATATCCAACTGTATATTGATAGGATGGAAAATCAAATGAGCAATAACATAGTTGTAATGGGAGACCTCAGTACCCCATGTCACAGAGAGAGAGAGAGATCGACTAGACAGAAAATCAGCAAAGAAATAGCAGAGTTGAATAAAACCTGTAAATAGATGGACTCGATAGAAACATGCCCAAGGCCTCGTGCCAGTGACTGGAAATATTATGACATTTTTAAGAATGTTCACTAGGTAGTAGGTGGTTGTACACTTCTTACATGAAGTTAGTTCCTTCTATTTGTAGTTTGCTAAGAGATTTTACAATGAATGCTTTTCTTTCATCTGTTAAGATAGCCGTATTTTTTCCTTTATTCTGTTAATGTATTAAATATGTAATATTAAATATTTAAACCAGCTTCATATTCCAAGGATACACTACTCCTTCATGGCATATTATTCATTCTATATATCCATAGACTCAGTTTACTAATATTTTACTTTATTGGTGAAAAAAAGATTTGCAAGCATTTTTTCAATATACTTTTTCTGTCAAAGCTTGATATCAAACAAGTTGTTAATTTTTAAAATTTTGGTTCTCTGAAGGAGTTTATGTAAAATTATTTTCTTTTAAAAACTTTGGGAGAGCCAGGCATGGTGCCACATGCCTGTAATCCCAGAACAGGGGATACTGAGGCAGGAAAATTGCTGCAACTTTGAGAAGCATCTGGGCTACATAGTGAGTTTAAGGCCAACTTGCGCTGCACAGTTTGATCTTGTCAAAAAAAAAAAATTGGAAAATTCACTGATAGAAGCCAGCTAGGCTGAGGAATTCTTTAACAAGAATATTTTAATTAAAGCTTAACATAATTATAGTAAAAAGTAAAGGCCTGTAATTCAAACATGAATGAGAACATGAGTTAGAATAGAGTACATTCTGTAATTTCTTGATGCATAGGGGAAAGCTCTAATAGTCCAGACTCATACTCAACGAATAGCGAAGTATTAAGTTCAACCATTTGTGTAGATCTGGACAACATTCTTTATAAATAAAAGATGAGTGTTAGGGTTCAGGTTATACTGCCCTAAAATGATTGTTGAAGCCTTGACTCCTGAAAGCTCAGAATGTGACTTCATCTGGACATTAGTTTGGGAATTAAGTCAAACTTAACCTCTCAAGGCTGGCATTATAAAAGGGCCGTGTGAGGACGTGGAGACACACCAGGATGCCATGTGAAATGGAGGTAGAAATCAGAGTGGTGCCTCACAAAGCCAAAGAAAACAGGAGAGGAGTGGAACAGCTTTGGCCTCAGCCTCAGAAGGATTTAACCCAGGGCAACTTCATTAACCACCGAGCTACATCCACAGCCCTTTTTTGTATTTTATCTTGAGACGTGGTTTTGAGAGTTGCCCAAGCTGGCCTTGAACTTGCAATCTTCCAGCCCTACCTCCGGAATAGTTGGGATTACCGGTGTGTGCCACTGTGTTCTCTTCCTGGTGGCACTCTGATTTTACTCTTTCAGCCTCCACAACTGTGAGACAAAGTTTCTATTGTTTTAAGCCACCCAGTTAATATTACAGTACTTATTAGTGTCAGTTCTAGGGAACTAATGCAGGAATAAAGTTTACTTTATTACTTTATTACAAGTAAATAAAGTTTACTCGTCATTCAAACATTATTCTACTAAAATTCTGTTAACATTTTTTGCTCATCATCTTCATGTGCAGATACAAATTCCCCATGGTGTGATTGTTGTGTATATCTAAATTGTACCTATAAACTTAATTTAAAAAATATTTTCCTGACTCTTTGGAGAGTTAAATTGCTAAATTGAGATGACTTGTCATCCCAAACGTTTTTTGTGTGGGGACCAACAGACCTTTTGTGTAACACATGTGAAAAAAATGAAGATTTGGGGGAAAAAATGCCATGGTGCACTTCATTTGCCTAAAACATCAAACCATGGCGCCAGAGAAAGTAAGTGATATCAGCAGGAAAGCCGAGAGGAAAATGGGAGGACTGTGACGGAGCTGAAGAGAGAAAGCACCGCAACATGTGTTCCACCCTCGAAAAATAAACTGGTCAGTGTAACGTTGGAGACCTCGGAACCAGTTATGTAGCTTTCCAGTTTTTCTTCTGGGAAAAATATATTCGGTTCTCAGACTTTTTGGTGTTCAACCACAAATTTGGAATGAATTGAGACCAACAGCCTAAGTATCACTGTATTCAGAAAAAAGTGTTAAAGCGATCACACTTTGGTTTGTAATGAAGATACAACACGATGATAGTTACTAAGATTTCTGTGACAGCAAGTTTCATAAAGCAGAAGCCACAGGAAATGCAAGCCAATCGTAGGAAAACGCTAGTATTCAGACTTTTATATTCTTTCAGTCAAACAAAAAAAAAATCCAAGTTTTCTTCAGCCAGCAAGTAAGCAAAACATGACATACACATGCACTGATACCATTAAAGATTGCAAGGAGTGAAGTATTCACATATGTCATGCCTTCTAAGCATTATACTTCATGAGTAAAAACTCCAGTCACAGAAGGACTGTCACATAGACTGTCCAGAATGGGACGTCCACTAGGACGGAGGAAGATCCGTGCCAGACAGTAGGTATGCCAAACACTGGGGGGGTAGGGCGAAAACTGATGCTAGTCATGGTTACACAGTTTTGTAACTAATAAAATATGCAAAAAACTACTTTTTTACTTTAAACAGATGAATTTGTATGTTATATAAATTATGTGTTAAACATTTTTTTTAAAAACTTATCAGCATCAGAGTACACCAAGGTTATGGTTTATTTCTGTTGTTCAGCCACTTTCAGAGTTATCCAGTTCTTGTCTTACTTGCCTTGTCCTGTCCTGTCCTGTCCTGTCCTGTCCTTATGATGGCGTGAACATTTGGGGAGTTTTTGTGTGTGTGTTTGTGTTTTTGTTCTGTTTTATTTGGCTAGAATATGCGAGGCTCTGAGTTCAATCCTCAGTATCACAAAAAGAGAGGACTTAAGATTATAGTACTATATGTCAGTTTCTCCACATACAAACTTTTTGTAAAGATTGAGGTACAGAACTAAAGATAAATTGTCCTGCTATTGTCTGTGGTTACCTTCTTTAAGTGTAACTACTGCATTTTTCTTAGAACATCTGAGAATATAGTGGAAATACATATTCTAATAAACTGCTTCTTCACTTTCATATCTTGTAACCATATGCTAGGTTGAAACTTACTGGCTTTGCCATAGGATGCCGTTTTGTACAGTACCTTTTCAGTTTGGCTGCTACAAAGAGGAGGACAGTAATAAACATTGACTGAGTAGTCATCACTAAAGTAGTAGTGATTGCAGTTTCTTTTTTGTTTAATAAGAAGTGTGAATCAACAGCACTTTCTATGTTCTTTCTTATCATAAACAGCACCCACATGCTGTTTCACACACCATAAAGGAAGAAACCTTGTTCACATATGACTCATGTTGGCCAGCCTCTGACAGAAGTGCAAGAACAGCGTGTAATGAAATAGCAAGTGGGCTGTCCTGTTGATCTGTGCTTCTTCATTAGACAGTTCTTCAGATGCCCTCTCACACTGATAAGCCTAAAACTGTGGATTTAAGGTGTTGAAGGAATGGGAGGGAGGCTTAACACTGGCAGAGTTTCTGAGGTGAAATGACCTTATCACATTCTATAGCTTTGTCCTGATTCACCTTCAGGTTTGCCTTAGGAGCACTGAGACTATCTGAAGATTCCTAGGATGTTTCCTATGTAATTTGATGATTAATGATTTTTTTACTTCCTTCATATTTAATCAGTTCTGTTGAAAATTCAGGGAATGAAAAATAATGCATATTAACTTCCTTTCCCTATCCTGTCATCCTTCACTAGAATTTTCTGAGGAAATAAACTGAAAAGGAAGACCATTTGCAGTAGAATTCTAAAAAGAAGGTCCTCTATAGTGTTTTGGTCACAGTTCTTAACACAGGTAGCAGCATATGATCAGGGGCTGGAATGGTGCTTGACACCAATTCTGATCCAACACAATTTTTCATTGTCTCTTTTTCTCATAGTATCATCTAGACTGTCCCAGCCATCTTCCCCTCAATCAGGCTGTCCTTCACCCACCATTCCAGCAGGTAAAGTCATCTCTCCATCACAGAAGCACAGCAAGAAGGCCCTGAAGCAGGTAAGCGTGGCGAGCCTTCATCAGAAGCGTCGCCTCCCGTGTCACAAATGCACAGCTCTGGCAATCATTGAAAGGCTTTAATACTAGACCCTCTGTAAGGGAAATTTCTTGCAGTATCCTAATTTGTTGGCATTAGTAATTTATACATTTCTCTATATAGTACTTATTGCAGGTTTTGGTAGATGCTCTTAACACATTTTAAAAGTTCATAGTTTGCTAAGAAGTTTTGTGTTTTTATTACATGTATGCTTTTTAAATTATGAAGAGGTGTTGAATTACTTAGGCTTGTTTTCTTTGGAATTTATTGAGATGATCAAGTAAGTTTTTCTCTTTTAAACTAACAGGATGGCACACCTAGTTTCTGATATATGCTATACTTAAATGTCTGGAATAAATCCAACTGTTATTTACATATTCTTGAAAATTACGTTGCAAAATTGTCTTTTGGCTTTTTAATTGGTACTGGGGATTGAACTCATGCCCTCACGCTTGTAGGTCATAACTTAGGCCGCCGCTAAGCTGAATCCCCACTGTCTTCAACTTGCAGTGATCCTCCTGCCTCAGCCTGCAGAATGCTGAGAGTACAGGTGTGTGCCATGGGATCCGGCTGCCAAATTTTCTTAAGACTTTTAGTTTGGTACCAGAAGTCAAACTGAGCGCTTGCCAGCACTGTGCTGCTCGCTGAGCAATGTTCCCAGCCTTAGTTTCAGCCTTACAGTGTCTTCACACTACCCTGACACAGCTTTAACATAAAGATTGATCTAGCATTATAAAGCAAGTTGTGGAGCTCTCTTTTTCTAGATTGTGGACAGAATTACAGAAATTATCTTTTCCTAAATTCAGTAGGTCAAACTTTTTACAATCATTGTAGCATTACAGTAGCCTGGTACCATTAATTAGTTGGTTTTCTGCTTTTTGAATCAATTTTGGTTTATGTAAGAAATTTATTTTTCTTACAAAATTGTCTATATTGCCTAATCTTTGCAATTTTACTGGTGTAAAATTGTACAGAAGGGCTTTTATGCCTCCCTGCCTGCTCCACCCACCTCACCAGTGTTGTACGTTTTATGTCTTTTCTTCCTAGTATTACTTTTTTACCGAACTTTTCAAGGAACTGCTTTGCATTTCTTAAAAGTACAAATGATTAGTACATAAACTGACTGCTAATTAGGGAAACATTAAAACGACAGCTTATGGGGCTGGGGATTTAGCTCAGCGGCATAAGCACCTGCCTTGCAAGCAGGCATTCGTGAGTTCAATCCCTGGTACCGTTAAAAATGAAAAAGACAAAAAAAAAAAAAAGACAGCTTATGTCTATCCTCAGATTTTGCTGTATATTTAAGGAGCTTAATTATATCAATGGTGAGTGTGTAGAAAAGTAGTTATTTGTTTACTAGACAAATACAAGATGGGTTTTTTGTTTATTTTTGTACCAGGTGTCAAACTCAGGACCTTGTGCTTGCCAGGCAGACACTGTGCCACTGAGCTATATCCCAGCCCAGAAATACAAGTTTTTTAAATACCAGTACCCTGTGTTTCAGCAATTGAATGTTTTGGAATTTATGTTAGAAAGATACATATGCAAACAGAAAAATAATCACATTTAAGTTTGTAGTAGCCAGAATTTGCAAGTAGCTTCCCTAAAACATATTCAATTAGGGAATTCTTTAATGATCATATACCAGGCATGGTGGCACACACCTGTAATACCAGCACTCAAGAGACTGAGACAGGAGGATTGCTGTGAGTTCAAGGGCAGCCTGAATGGCATAGTGAAACCCTGTCTCAAAAAGACCTTCCAAAAATAAATAAGTAAATAATCATATGGTGATGTGCTCCTGTAATCCTAGCACTTTTGTGGCTGAAGCAGGGAGATTTTTCAAGAGTTCAAGGCCATCCTGGGATGGAGTAAGGCCAAGGCCAGCTTGAACTACATTGTGAGATGCTGTCTCACAAACAAAAATTATAATCGTTATGTCCTTAAGATGGACAGTTATACAAGACCAGAAGTTTATTTTATAATAGGATTGTGCTACACTTTAGATACAGAAAAATTACCAAGAAGCTATCATACTGAGTAATTTTTACTAAAAAGGTGGGACATGATGTACCCACAAAGCAATGCTATATTTTAATAAGAATATGAATACTTAGGTGTGTGTACACACATATACCTTAGGTATGTATACACCTTGTATGTGTATGTATATACATATAATTTTGCAACATAATTTTCAAGAATATGTAAAGAACAGGATGGATTTATTCCCGACATTTAAGTGTACATGTATACACACATAAAACAGCTGAATAAGAAAAATAAATTGAAAGTTATGTAGGTGTATCTGGGTGTAATGGTGCACACCTGTAATCCCAGCACTTGGGAGGCTGAGTCAGGAGGATTCCTGCAAGTTCAAAGCTAGCCTGTCCTACATACTGAGTTCAGGCCTAACCTGAACTATCTCACAAAGTGTTTAAACCAAAAGTACATTTATTAAATGTTGTTCATGAATTTGAGAAGAGTACTACCTGTCTGAGTATGCTGATATAGTACTTGTATTTTTCATAATTTCTTTAGAGTTAATAAGTACAGAATTATTTTCCACAGAGAAAAGGCAAATGTTTTACTAAATCTTGTCAACTAATCCTAGACACATACTCTAAAATATGCTACTTTGGGGAAGGTGTTTTTGGACTGTATTTTGGGACAAGGTCTCATCATGTAGTTCAGGCTAGCCTTGAACTCACTATGTAGCCTATGGTGTACACAAAATCAAAGCAATCCTCCTTCAGCCTCCTCAGTGCTGGGATTACATGTGTGTACCACCATACCCAGCTACTCTTAGTTTAACCATCAAATACTACATTTTCTTTATAGAATATCAGTGTGGTATATAAATCCTTGTCTCTAATAAGTTTGTCCTATTAGGTAAAAAAAAATTTGCTTCACAAATTAGAGGGCTCTTGTCATTACATTTTTATTAATTTTACAATAGAGCTGGTTGTGGTGGCACTTGAGAGACTGAGTCAAGAGAATCACTGAGTTAAGGCAGTTCAAAAGAGAATTATCCCAGCAACAGAGTGATGAGGCAGGAGGATCACTGCAAGTTCAAAGCCAACTGGGCTATAGAGTGAGTTCAAGCTTTGAACTGCATAGTGAGACCGTGTCTCCAGAAACAAAACAAAATAAAAATAGAATTAGGCTCAGAGTTTGTACACTACTAAGGGTTCTTGATTAGAGTAGTCTAAATTCTCCTGCTTCCATCATATATCAGAATTTACAAGAGCACAACCCAACTATGTGGGATGGTGATTCTTTTATGCTTTGTGTTAGCCTGGAATGACAGTGGGTACTGTGAGGAGCAAAGCATGGATGCTCTTAGGTCACCACTTGGGAGCCTGTGGACAGCTTCTGGTTTAACTGCAAAGAATGAGAGAATAAACGTTAGTCTCGTCATTTTTTATACTTGACACTTCTGCCTCACCAATTGTAAATGATGTAGGGGGTCTAAACCAGACCTGACACTTGGATTTCTCCAGTTGTCAGCTGAGAGCAGGGCAGTTGTTGCCACTGCTTAGACTTAGCCTGAGATACTGAGTGTTAAAACAAGAAAACTATGCTGGGATAAGGAAATGGAAAACCAACAAGTAGCCAGTTACTGCACACTTTCTGCATGACAGTCCTGAGGGTGATAGCCTCAAATTGGACAGGGTGGGTACCCAGGCATGGAATCTTCTGTAGCTCTGAGAACAAAGGCAGGAAGATTGCAAGGTCAAGCCCAGCCTGGGCAATTTAGCAGTTTAGCAAGACTTTGTCTAAAGGGGTGGGAAGGTGTCGCTGAGTGCTAAAAAAGTTCAGCTTCTAATACTAAAACAAAACAAACATTGTAGCCAAGTTATGGATCCAGTTTTTTCTGGCAAGTACTGTTTTTGGTTCATGGTCTCCCTCCCCTTCAGTTAAAAAGTTGTCTCATATATTTTTGTGATTAAAGTTTATGTGTCTCTTGGCTTTTCTGTTCAAATGTATAATCTTTGTGTGTCTTTTTGAAGCAGGGGCTTGCTATGCAGTTCAGGCTGGCTGTGGGCTTACTTTGTAGCCCAGACTGGTCTTGAACTTACAGCGATCCTCCTGCCTCAGCCTCCCCAGTGCTGGGAGTACAGGAGTGCGCCACCATGCCCAGCTCTGTTCAGATATATTCTGTAGTTTAAGAATCTCACAGAAATAAAAATAATCTGGAGTAACCAGAGGGTACCACTGTGTCCTACCCCCTCATCCTTTTGTTTACTGCCTTTCTTAAATTGTTGAGATTTAGGTGATTGGTAACATTTGGTTTCTTTGCTTTTACCCAAGAAGTTTCATTGCTCTTACCCAGGAAAACTCAAACTTGTTATTTACAACCTTTGTTTCAAAAGCAGCACCTCTGAACCATACATGAGGTAAATACTTGCATTTCTACCTAGGATGGATGCAGATAGAACTCTTCTTGGTAAAGGACTTAGAATTCTGTTTCCAGAGAGGATTTGAAATCATATAATGATTTACAAGATTCAAAATCCTTAACTTAGTGTTTTTGTTTTGAACTGGGACTCCAGCTCATGACCTTGGCAGGGTTGTGGTGATTTTTAAGTTAAAAAAAAAGTTTATGACTGTTTCTCAGAAAAATAGCTAGAATCTATAAAGATTATTTAATTTAAAGATTCCTTAACCTAAGATTATTTAAGCCTTGTGTTTGATTGGCTAAGTGTAGATTTTTATTTGTTTTGATAGATTTCAAAAAAGTCGAATTATTGCTGGGCGTGGTGGTACCCTCCAGTAATCCCAGCATTCAGGAGGCTGAGGCAGGTAGATCATTGGAAGTTCAAGACCAGCCTGGGCTACAAAGTGAGCCTAAGCCCATCCTGAACCACATAGTGAGACCCTGTCTCAAAAAAAAAAAAAAAAGACCAAAAAAGATAAATTGAATTGTGAAAATGCTTCTCCCCACTTATAAACAAGTCATTTACTTTTTAGTATTAAAAGCTGATTTGTTCCTTACAGTCTGTTCTCTCTCCGTAGGCTCTGAAGCAGCAGCAGCAGAAGAAGCAGCAGCAGCAGTGCAGGCCTGGCATGTCAGTCTCTTCCAGCCAGCACCTCTCCCTCAAGACGGTCAGAGCAGCTGGTGACTCCGTACCTGCCAAACCTGGTGGGTATCCTGGGCATTTTGTTTCAGTGGAAGTTTCTTTTTCCCATTATTTGTGTGTTTGTGTTACACATTTGTATATTGTATCACTTAATTTTGAATTGCTATATTTTGTTACACGGTCCTTGTACTGCCAAATCATTAGTATAAATATTTTTGGCATAAATGAGAAAATTTTTATGAGAAATAATCATATACAGTAGTTTTTTAAACAAGCTCATCAATGAGATCAGCATGTAAGAAGGCAGTAAATGACTAACTGCAGGTATATCTGACCTAATAATATTTGGAAGCTTCTAATCCGTAACCTTACATTCTAGTTACTTTTCTCATTGCTGAGATAAAATATCCAACATCCAGAGTTAAAGAGAGGAAGGCTTTTAGCTCACAGTTTATAGCATTTTCAGTTCATAATTGACTGGCTCCAAGTCTGGGTGACACATGGCAGAGGGGCAACAGCTCGTGGGGGAGGAAGCCAGCAAAAGCAAGCAGGGAGAAGGACAGGCCCCTTCTGTCCTTTATAGGGTCTGGAGGCTACTGGCCTGAGGGTAGGTACAGCACCCGCACCCTTAATCCCACCATTGGACCATGAATCAGTCACAACGTAGATTCAGCTGTCTCTGAGAAGCCCAGCCTCCATGACTCCATGAGACTCTGAGGGGACATCTAGACACAAACTGTAACACTTACAGTTTACAGGAGGGTGAAAAAGAATTCTTTACTAATTCTGTCCTTTTAAAAATAAGAAATTTTCCTAAGAATTCATACTGCCTTTCAGTTTTCATTGGATATATTTGTACACCTTCTGGATCTTGCTGTTACTATTTGTTTTATGGTTAATCTATTCTTGTGAACTACCGTGAAGTCAGAGTTATGAGCCTTGAAGAACTCTGCATGTTTTTTAGAAAGATTTATCACCAGAAGTATATAGTGTACTGGAAGAAAGAATTTATTTTTAATTTCTCACTCAAAACACATTTGCAAGACTATTTCCTTTATACATAACTCCCTTTAGTTAACATGGGATGATTGATTTCTCTCTAACCTCAGTGCCACCAGTCTTTACATATTTTTTCCCTCCAGTAATATGGGAAGGAAGGCAGTCTGATGGACAGTCAAGCAGCCCCCAGAACTCAAACTCCAGCTTTTCTTCTTCAGTTAAAGTGGAAAATCCATTGCTAAGCTTAGGGAAGAAGTCTTTCCAGAGGTCTGACAGACTCCACACAAGTAAGTTAGTTTGCAGAAACTTCTGTTTTCATTGCAAAACTTACCAGTTGTGTGTGTAAGATTCATCCGCTCTTTGGATTAGGCTTAGTATGTAATTTTACTTGTATAGCGTATGTGTTTTTCTTTCTGTTGTTAACTTTAAGAGCTTTGTTGTTATTTTTGCAGTACTGGGGATTGAACCTACTAGGGCCTTTTGCATGCTAAGCAAGTATTCTACCACTGAACTACATTTCCAGCCTGACATAAGTACTTCCAGGAAATGAAAAGAAAAATGAGACAAAATTGGCTTAATGTCTTTTTCCTGTATTTGCTAGCCCTGTTCATCTCTGAGGTCTTCACTAGATTCATGTTCTTCCTGTCCTCCCCTTACCAAACTTTTTACTTCAGAGCAATATGTTCTCAGTCATTTTTGTGATTTTTCTTTTTCTCTATACTAGTAGAACGCTTTGTTCTGCATTACTCACATCTTGTTTCTTAGATAGAAAGGTTTATAATTAAATATGGCAAGTGTTTTCCTGATCTCTTGGAAGTTTCACTAACATGAGAATATAGAAATACAAAAGATTAAATCTGTATAGGAGGTGAGAAAACCCAGAAGACAACCAGATGGGCAGGTGTCAGCAAATTGTGCAAGACAAAAATTTGATGTTGGTGGAAAGCAGTTGTCATAGTGAGCAGCCAGCTGTGACTGCAGAGCACCAGAAAGGCTCTGGAGCTGGTGAGGGGGATGCATTCCAGGAGAGAAAGGCGGATAGAAGGTCTAAAAATTGGCCGTGAGGTTCAGGAGTTAAGAAGCAGCAGTTTGACACTTCTCCCTAGCAGAAGACAAGTTTATTCTGGGTTGAAATTGATGGAAGAAACTGAATTTAAGTAAGCCACAAATAGTTCAGGGCAGAAAATGAGACACTGGCCAGAAATTGGGGAAGTCAACTGGAATACAAATTTTAAAAAGTAATTTCCCGGCCTGCCTTCCAGAATGCTTTTTAATAAGGAAGAATATTTCTGACACTCCTATTTCTTGTCTCCTCCAGCAAGTCATTGGTGCACTGATACCTAAAGAAATCTGATAGCCTCAAAAAATAAATAAATCTGCAGCAGATTTGCAAGTTACCACCTCTCTGTGGCAGATCTTCAAGTTTCTACCTGTACAGGTCATCTTGATAATACTACAGTGAAGTCCACCAGTCTAAAAAACCTACCTACGCATACAAAATTTCCAGGCAGCTGTTTAATGCTTCTCTCTTCATAATAATTACCAAAAATTCCCTTTGAAGGAAATTTCCCCTGTGTGAGATAAAAATAAAAGCAGTAGACTCTAAAAAGAACCAAATTTAAAGCAAATAACCTTAAAATTACATTTATCGTTAGGCATGGTGGTACATGCCTATAATCCCAGCACACTGGAGGTTGCACCAGGAGGGTCACTATGAGTTCAAGGCCAGCCCGGGCTACATACCGAGTTCAAAACCAGTGTGAAATACATACTGAGACCTTGCCTGGAAAGAACAAAAATTAAAATATCTATAGAAAGAAATCATATTCATGAAAGAAGTGAATATTATTTTTAAAACAAAGTTAGAGTTCTAGGATATTAAATGACATGAGAATTAAAATTGAAAAATTATATTGGAGCCAAGTGTGATGATGTATACCTCTAATCCCAGCATTCAGGAGGCAGGAAGATCACTGTTAGTTCGAGGCCAGCCAGGGCTACGTAAGTTAGTTCAAGGCCAGTCTACACTATGAAGTAAGACCTTGTCTCCAAAAAAAATGCATGTTGGAAATATTGAAAGATCAAGTTGAAGAAATTCGTGTTAGGTGTAGTGGCACATACTTATAATCCTAGCACTCTAGAGGCTGAGGCAGAAAGATTTCTGTGAATTTGAGGCCATCCTGAGCTACGTAGTGTGACTGTTGTTTGGTTTGGTTTGGTTTGGTTTTTGGTAACAGAGATCAAATTGACAACCTCACACTTGCTAGGCAGTTGTTTATGCCACTGAGCTTTAAAATAAAAACTGTCTTTAAAATAAAAAACAACCAGGAATTTAGCTAAGCACCTACCTGGCAAGCACAAGGTCATGAGTTCACTCCCCGGTACCAAAAATAAATTAATTAATTAAAACAAAAATCAGCAAAAATAGATCAAGAAAAATTGAGTAGAAAAGTAAAAGTAACATACCAATCCAAGATTTTCATAGTGCTAAATAATTTAGCAGGGCTATCAGAAAAAAAATAACAAGTAGAAAGGGAAATAAATACTGTATTTTGTATCTCACCCACTACAGACTTCCAGAACTGCTTCAGAAAGTGTTAAGAATCATGGCATAAGTGTGTTCAAGTGAGGAGGAATATTTGGATGCACATGAATGGCAAAGTGTCATTTACTGTATGGCCTTTTTTTTTTCTTCTTCTTCTTCTTTCTGAGACAAGATTGTGCTGTGCACTGCAGGCTTAGCTAAAACTTACTTTATAGCCCAGGCTGGCCTTGAACTCTCAGTGATCCTCCTGCCTCAGCCTCCGGAGTGTTGAGATTACAGCTGTGCACCACTGCACCCAGCTGTCACAACTTTTATTTTACTTTATTTTTAAAAGACTCATCATACAGTTTGGTCACACCACATATGCTTACCCCGATTTGAACATTGCATAGTATATCCGTTGTATACCCTTTTGTAACAAGACATGTGTAACACATCAAGTTAGTTACAAACTAGAGAGGAGAAAAAGCCAACACAAGATTGTGAGTGTGATCCCTGGTACCAAAAAACAAAAGAAAAAGAGTCAGGTCTGCTCCCAGCAGTTTCATAGAAGGTCAAGGCTACTGCAAGAGGAACTGGGGAGTGCTAGTGGTAAAGTACAAGCCTTGCCTGTGCAAGGGTCCTGGGCTCACCCTCATCGCCTAGCCTCTTACCAAGACAGTATAATGGAGCTGAGGAGCTCAGAAGGCATGTCTGTGTTCATTTCCATGTTCCAGACCCATCCAGACTATTAAGCATACCTCCCGGGTACTGGGTTTATTATCAGCTTGAAAAGTCGATTTTAATTTCTTTGTCTTAGGGTATATTTAAGTACTTGTTTTTAATTCCAAATATATAAAAACCTTTGTTCATGTTTTTTATTTTTTTTTTTTTTTGTCTCTTTCCTTTTTATCGGTACCGGGAATCGAACTCATGACTGCCTGCTTGCAAGGCAGGCGCTTATGCCACTGAGCTAAATCTCCAGCCCTCTGTTTATGTTTTTGTTGAACTTTTAACTGAAATACCTGCATCCCAGAGATGATATACTCCATGATTCCTTTACCTATGTGGTGAGATGATACTGAGTAGAACCTGAGCTATACTGTCTGGCTTCAGGTTCCTACGTTATAACTTAATGCTGTAATTTGAGCCTTGAACTCATGATTCTCCCACCTAAGTCTCCTGAGTGTCCTTTTTATCCATTGTGTTGATTTTTCTTTTCATGGTTTCTAATTAGGTATTTGTGTTTTTTCTAAAGCTCTTAAAATGCACCTTTCCCTCCATCCCTCCCCACCCTACCCCCTCTTATTCTGGAAAAATCATTTTTAGTACATTATACCTGCCTATTTAATATTATCTCAGCTGTTCTTTTATCCATCCATAGTAGCTGATTTCAACAGCTGGTACCCTACATCTATAGAAGTCTTAACTTTTTAAAAAGTCTGTTAATTCTTGATCATAGCCAAGGTATGGCTTCATGGTGCAATGTTTACCAGCGTGCACAAGGCCTTGGATCCCATCCCCAGCTCTGAAAAGAGGAAACATTCCTCATTATATTGTTCCTATCTTTATAATTACATGCTCTGCTTCATGGTTCTAGGTCTAAATTGGTTATTTCTCGTTTCCAATGACTGTTGTGGCATGACTTGTGATTTCTTGGGTAATAATTGTGAGATATACTGGATTTTAATTGTGGGCCTCGCTGAGGTGAATCCCTTGCTGTGCTGCGGATAAGTTGTATTGTTTTATCCTGTATACATTTATAAGACTTGATTCGTTGACCTTAGATGAAATTTTTTCTCTCAATTTTTGCACTGCACAGATTTAGGTAGAAACATGACTGTGAGGGAGGTATAAATGATTCTTTTCCTTGTTTTTTAGGGCAAATGAAAAGGACTAAATGTGCTGACATTGATGTGGAGACCCCAGACTCCATCCTGGTTAATACAAACCTGCGAGCACTGATAAATAAACACACCTTTTCCGTCCTTCCTGGGGATTGCCAGCAGCGACTTCTTTTACTGCTTCCAGAGGTGGATCGACAGGTTTGTCATTTTAAAACATAAGCAACTTTGAACCCTTGTGGGACTACTTTGACTCATCATATTTAGCACTATTTAACTTTTTATTTTTATTTTTTTGGTACCAGGAATCAAACTCATGCCTTGCACTTGCCAGGCAGGTGCTGTGCTGCTGCACTAAATCCCTGGCCCAAGAACTCTTTAACATTTAAGGATTTTTTTACATATATTGGTAAAGAAGTGATATTAATGGTACTAAATAAGAATATGTTTAAGTGACTTAGTAGTTGGGCTTTATAAGGTTTATTAAATCAGGAGGAGAAACTCTTAATAGAATGGTTAGAGCGCAGAGTCAGTTTGAGTGGTTGTCCTGGCAGGGTGTAGACTCCAGTTCAGGAGGAGTTGTCTTCATCCAGTATTAGCAGGATACGGGCCAGTGGCACAGGGGAGTAGGAATGAGCCATTCTGCCTGAGGTAGGCAGGTCATGGGGTTGAGACTAACCTGAGCAACAGTGAGAGTCTGCTTCAGAAAAGAGAACCACTGCGGCTGGGGGAAGCTCAGTGGTTCAGCACTTTCCTAACGTTCACAAGGCTCTGGTTTTGATCCTGAGCATTGCATAAGAAAAGAGTAAGCCAAAAACAGAGATTCAGATACACAGACACATCTGGAAGGACATAGGACAAGGAAGAATAATGGTTGAGTTAGATGTGTTTGTCGTTTTTATTATTTTGTGAAAATCTTCTAAAGGAAGCATTGCTCTCATGGAAAATAATTTAAACTCTAGTATAATAGTGCCTCAGATCATGAACTCAACTCTGGTTACAAGCTGAATTAGATGAGAACCAATCAAATTCACTGGTTACATTCTTTTTTAGTATTACTTACTTAACTTACTTATTTTGGTTTTTTGAGAAAGCGTCTTGCTGTATAACATAGCCAGAACTGTCACAGAACTGTGACTTATGTCCATCCTCCCGCCTCAGCCTCCTGAATGCTGGGATTCCAGTGTGTATCACCACACCTGGCTGATAGTTGGATTCAATACTGAGCTTATGGGGAAATTGATTTGATTCTCGTTTGGTTCATTTTGTGACCAGAATCATGGAAGAAAATAAATTCATGTACCATATACTGGTGTATGTTAGACTTGGAAAAACAAAACTAGCAAGAAGATACACCAAAGGTTTGGAAGATTCAGGGGAAGGCCAGAGAAATATAGCTATGTGTAGAATTAGATTTAGATTTATAGACAGCTGTGTGGCTGACTTAGTCTTTGTTAATCTCTTACGCTAAACTGGAGAATATAAGTAGCTCTTCACTGTGACGTAGAGAAACTGCTTTCATCTTGCTTTCATAATGATTTTAAGAGAAAGAACTGTCAGTGACTAACATGGCTGGTGTTAGGAAATAATAATGGTTCTGAAGCAACCACTTTCATAGACTACACTGACACACTAGTTTCTTTTTGGCAATACTGGTGATTGAACCCAGAGCCTTCACACTGAGCCCCATCCCCAGCCCTTTTTATGTTTTTTATACTGAGACAGTCTCCCTGAGTTCCTGAAGCTGTGTTCAAACTCCCAATTCTGCCTCTCCGTCTTTGGTGTAGGGATCACAGGCTGTCACCACTGTGCCTAGCTGTTAACAACTTCCTAGTGCCATAAACCAGAACGTTGAGTGCCAAGGATCATTGACAACTTTGTGTGGCTTGTCCTTTAACGCAGGTTGGTCCGGATGGCTTGATGAAGTTGAATGGCTCAGCCCTTAACAATGAGTTCTTCACTTCAGCAGCCCAAGGCTGGAAGGAGAGACTATCAGAAGGTACGAGTTCTACCTCACGTCCTCTCCCAGGGTCTGTGTGAACTTGAACAACTGTAAGCACTCTTTGCTTTTCAGATATTTGTACAGTTTTGGGAGGTAAAGTGGTCAAAAGGTAGAACTAGCTGTCCTGTGTAAAACACGTTGTCAGACCTTCTGTGAGATCCATGGAACCACGTAGGCTCCTGATAACATACTACGGCAGTGTTTCTTTAAGGAATGTAACATACGTTTTGTCATATGAGAGATATAACTATGGGTGTGTCAAGTGTGCATTTATTCTTTAGACTATTTCTATTGATGAATTATTTTTTTTAATTTTTATTTTTCTTGAATACTGGGAATCGAACTCAGGATCTTGCACTTGCCAGGCAGGTGCTGTGCCACTGAGCTATATCCCTGACCCTGATGAATTACGAATTTTATGAATTTTACTTAACAGTGAGTGCTTATCAGGACAAATAACAAAAAATAAAGTATTCCATTTTTAATATTTGTTGAGTGTTTATATAAAAGCATCAAATTTTTCAACATCAAATGGTTTTTGGGGTACAAAGTCTAAAAAAGAGCAGCAGAAATAAATTCCTGTATCAACTGCTATGAAAATACCAATAACATTCCACAAAAATAAAACCTTTACTTCTATTATCAGACCCACGGCAGTCTTTTATACATGCCAAAAACAGCACATCCCTCATACACACAAATCACTTACTTGGACAGTTCATATATTTTGCTTTGCTTGCCTTTTTCTAGTACATACTTGACATCTCACTGATCTTACTGTTTCGTCAGGACGTTATTATTACTGGTTTGGTTTTGGTACTGAGGATTGAACCCACCATCTTGAGCTTACCAGGGAGATGCTGTGCTGCTGAGCTATATTCCCAGTCTCATTAAGTTGTGTACTTGCTTACAAAATCTAAGAAGTAACGTCAGAAATAAAAACCTATGTGAGGGGCTGAGGATTTAGCTCAGTGGCGTAAGTGCCTGCCTGGCAAGCGCAAGGTAGTGAGTTTAATCCCCAGCACCACAAAAAACAAAGAAACAAACAAACAAAAAACCTATGTGAGCTACAGTGCAAGCACAAGCAAAATCTACCACTGAAGTAATCTTTGCTGCGAGGCATGATGGCGCACTCCTGTAATCCCAGCAGTCGAGAGGCTGAGGCAGGTGGATTGTTGCAAGTGCAAGACCACATGGGCTACAAAGTAAGCCCACGGCCAGCCTGAACTCTGCATAGCAAGACCCTAACTTAAAAAGACAAAAAATAATAATCTTTGCGTTAGCTGTCACATGCAAGGCAGTCTTTACACATGACGACTACATGCGCCATGTACACGTTAAACTTTGCGCTGGTGTAGCACACATTCTTAGCTTTTGTTTGTTTCCAGTGTAACAAGCCATTCTTGTTACCCCTCTTCTTTCCCTGTTTTGTAAGGAGCGTCCATTTTCTACATTGTGCTCTTAACAGGAAAATGAGACATCAGTAAAATAAAATATCAAATGTGTATTGAGTGCTTAGAATAGACATCAATTCTATACTTGTTTATAAAATGTAAGCGATAATACCAGAAATAAAAATGTATGGGAACTGCAGTGAAAATATTAATAAAACCCTACGCCAGAAATAATCTCGTGTTCAATTGTCACACCCAAGGAAGTCTTAATACAGGAAAATTGCATTTTCACACACAAGTATGGTATACACTGATGACACGGATGTTTTGTTTTCTCTGGGCAGAAACATTTTGTTTTTATTCTGCTGTAAATGATCTGGTCCCAGGCCTGTAAGAACATTTCTCCATACTATTTTGCACTTTTTATTTTCTTTGTAAACTATCAAACTGTTTATGCCATACATGTTTAGGGTTGAGTAAAACACAACTATTGCCTAATGCTGTGTGTTTCAAGTGACATCACAGTTGCCACCTCAACATCTACTACTCTGCCTTTGGTTTTATGTAGAAAATTCTATCCAGGCGTCTGTTTTGTGGAGATTTCCCTTTCAGTATTTTCATCATAGTATGATGTTGATGACATCAGCAGGACCACTTTGGGATTTATTTTTGGAGGGTTTGTTTGTTTGTTTGCCACATACAAGGCCAATGTTACAACTTTCTGAAATGCAATTTTCCAAAAATTGCAATGTTACATTTGAAATTTCTGCTTTGTTTCTGCCATGGCCAAGTTGTCCTCTGTTAGCAAATGTAGCATCAGTTGGAAACTGAGCAACCAGTTGTTGAATGGCATTCGGATTAATTTGGAAGATGGGAGCAACAAGTCTGTTCACAGCATCATTCATTATATTAGTATTTGAACAAGGGCCTGATGGCTGAGTGCCAGGGTAAATTTCTAAATTGAAAGCGTAATAAGTCTTCACGTTTACAAGGGCATAAGTGTTTATGCCATATTTTGACCCATAGCTCTTCCATATAAGTACAGCATACATGAATGCTTTCAGTTCAGCTGATGAGGTGTCATCATAAATACATTTTTTAGTATGACTGGTGGTATGAACAGAATATTTTACTTGGAGCTCAGCCTTTGTGAGTGTCACAGCATCTTGTAGTATTTCACATTAGACTTTCCAACACTAAATGGCAGTGCTGGCATTTTGTCCAATATTTTTCACCCCTGCCCAGACCCTTGTTGTATTTTCAGACCTAGTTCCAACATTGGATGGTACCATTCAGTTGTGTGACCATTTTGCAACGTTTCAGCTAGTTAAATATGTACTCACAGCCGGGCGTGGTGGCTCAAGCCTGTAATCTCAGCACTCGGGAGGCTGAGACAGGAGGATCGTTGCGCATTCGAGACCAGCCTGGGCTACAAAGTGAGCTCAAGGCCAGTCTGATGTGCGAAGCGAGACCCTGTCTCAAAAAGACCAAAAAAAAAAAAAAAAAATGTACTCACATTGCTGTTTTCTTTGTCTTCTGAATAAAAGAAGTCTCTATACACTGTGTTATCAGTGTTATCAGTGGATTCTTGCTTTATTTCAGTTACAGAAAGTTTGGCTCCCGTGGCCAATGTTTAAACTCATCATCATCATCCACCCGTACCACTCTTCAGTTATGAAAACATGTATTTTACCATAATGGATCATCTTCATCATCCATGAATGAGTAATCTGTGATTCACATTTGACCTCAGAAACTTGCAAATCTGTGCCATTGTATTGAACTGAACTACTTCTTCCAGAAAAATCAAAAGAAATCTGATTTTAAACCAAATCCTAGAGAGTGGTGTGGGTGTATTATACCCTTTGTGATGCTCAGATAAACATGCAAAAACTTCCATGGAGCATCATGTAGGTGAAAATACTGGCTTGACAGTTCTGCACACAGGCACACACTTTGTCTTCTGTTGTACCAAGTGGATAAACACAAAGATTGCTTCACATAGCCCTCAGGGAGAGGTATTGAAATACACAGCCAGCTACTTTTAGACTAAAGTAAAAATTTACGGCAGAACAGTAAGGGACATGTTTGTGGAACCCACTTTTATGTTCCAGTTAGTCCCCTGAGCACATTCTGTGTAGAAGGGGTCTCTTGCTCTGCTTCCTTTAGTCATTTCTTGCAGATTTCCTTTGGTAGAGACCCATTTTTCTTGAAAGAGTTAAAATTACAGAAATACTTTTGAAACCTTCAGGTTACTGGTACTAACTTCAGGTTACTGAAGACTAAACTGCCCAACCGCTCTTTTTTCATAGGTTTTAGGTGCTATCAGCAGTGGCACCTTGCTTATTACTGTTGCCTTTTCTTTTTTTACAGGTGAGCAAGTTGTCTTGTGATATTTTATGAGCAAGCAAAACTTGGAACACTGATTAAATGGCCACAAGGTTCAAAACATTTTAGTCCTTATTTTAGGATACACAGTAGAATCAACACCAGAAACTCTGGGTTGGATTCAGACTCCCAGATTCACCTTTCATATTCCTTTTCCCAGGACTGTGATGTCCACAGTCTCCTAATACTTTTTCTTTCCTCCTTCTTGCCCCCAGCAGGTCTTAAACTTCAAAGTCTGCCGTTTCTTCCTTTTATTCTTGACATCTTGGATATTAGACTGTAAGAGGGAGTAACCTGTCTGATCCACAAGTTTGAAGATTGCCCACCAAACACTTTCCTGTTCTGTACCAATGGAGTGGGAAAGATTGAGGTGGTTGTGATATATTGCAAATAAATGGCACATTCACAGGAGCTGGGTTCTTGGCATGTTGACTGTCTTTGTTGCTGTGACACTCATGGACTGGTTCAGTACTGGTGTGGACTGGTACAGTTTCTAGAAAAATTAGAAAATTAATAACTCGAGTAACTTTTTATTGGCATCACAAATGTTTTTTAAGTATGCCATGGCTTTTCATTATGCAATTAGAGGTAAAAGGCCTAAAATATAATTTTCCTTTAAGAAATTAACTTTCCCAGTGGCATTATTTACCTAAAGCACATCACCTCCCCCCACCTCCGCAGTGGAAGATAAATAAGAAATAAAGATTAGAGATAAAGATATCTGTATGGAATATGATAACTGGAGTGAAAGAGAGGTGCTACTGGGGAGGCCCAGAAAGAAAATGGTGTAAGCCTCAGCTGATTACTAAACACTATGCAAAGAAGCGTGCTGATTTTTGCTTCATACAGTGATATTTAGGTCTTCCTTGACAGTGACTTTCTTTGGAAAGTTTCTGTTATTTTTACATGATAGTATTCTGATTCCCACATGAATTTTCCATGATGTAGCTATCGTTGAAAGTTACAAATAACATGTTCCCATTTCGTATAATCTTTTCATTCCTTGTAGGTGAATTCACACCGGAGATGCAGGTGAGAATTCGACAAGAGATTGAGAAGGAGAAAAAAGTGGAGCCATGGAAAGAACAATTCTTTGAAAGCTACTATGGTCAGAGGTAATATTAAAACAGTTTTATAAACCAGATGTTAATTCTAGCATATATGTCATTTGTGCTTTATCTCTTTACCTTAACAGAAATTCCAGTGCCCAGTTTCCTTTACTTTTTACTTGCCAATTCTTTACCAAGAATTTTCCTTTTTAAGAATTATATATGTGCAGAATGGCATTATTCATAATCTTTGAACCTATTTTAATATCACTAATATCATAGCTAGATTGCTTCATTTTTTAAAGAAAATTCTTGATGCGGTCCTTTCCTTGAAGTAAATTGGCTTTTCTTCCAGTACCCTTATTAGATGTAAGAAACTGAGGTTCTGTGTATTTTTCTAGTATTTATCCCAAAATATGCCTTACTCAAAACCTCTCAGGAGTCCAAGGAATATATTATGTGTGCTATTATGCAGTTAGAGGTAAAAGGCCTAAAACACAATTTTCCTTAAAGAATCCCAGATGGCCAGGGATTTACCTCGGCGGCACAGGCACCTGCCTGGCATGTGCAAGGTTGTAAGTTTGATCCCCGAAAGAAAAAAAAAAATCTCCCAGATGTAATTAAATGGGTGTCCTCTTAAAAGGTACTCTGAGAGATTCCCATTGCTGAATCAAGACACAAAGCCTATTTTTAAAAGGATATATAGTCTCAATCTGTTTTTTCCCTAACAAAGTCCAAATGAAATCTTAATGAAGATATTTAAATAAATGATAAATAATGGAACTGTTTCATTCAAAGTAGGAAGTAATACCTAGGCTCCTCTTTGGTGGTCTCTCTTCCTTCTGTCTGCATACTATAGCAGCCCTTAAGAAAATTCCATAACTACAGCTTGGAACTAAGGACTGCTGTTTCTTACTTCTAAGTAGTGTTTATTGATCCCTTTCACACTTAATGTAGAATAGATTTCTGTTAAGAGTTTCAGACTGGGGGTAGTGGGACACACTTGAAATCCCCGCCCTCAGGAAGATCTCCAAAGTGTGAGGCCAACTACTCCCTTTCAGAGGTGCAGTACTGATTTTTTTAAGTCACCAGAGGGTTTCGTTGACTCTTGCCTGTTATATAATAGTTTAAATCATTAGTGACTCTGAAAGAGTAGATGGCTTTTAATGAGGCCACACTTCAGAAATCCTAACTGATCTAAACCCCCAGAAATGCTCAGCACCATGTGATCTTGAAATTTTAGAGCTGGATTGAAGCAGGATTCAAACAAGCTTGCCCAAATAAAGCTCAGTGACAACTTCTAGCCTCTGCCAAATACTGACAGCCAGTTTCCTGCTCTCTTAGATCGCCTAAGCCATCGTTTCTACAACTTCTGTGAAGCAGAATTGATCACAGTTCACACCCAGGCTGGATGGGTTTTAGTATTTCGTCACGCCTTTATAGGTAGTCTGTAATACTTACCTCTAGGTGATGTGACCCCTTCATAAGCAGAAGTAATCTGTTAGGGAGCTGTCGTCATGTGCTGTGACATGAACATTATATGAACATTATATGAAATAGTTGTAAAGTCATTAACTCCAGTGTGCAGTTAAAGAAACTGAGGTGCAGCCGACTTGTCACTTAAAACACATGGACAGCTGATATCATAGCCAGGATTGCAGTTACTCTGGCTGTGAAACATTCTTTACTAGCAATAACTGAAATTTAAAAATTATCTAGTAAAAATGTTCGTACGAATTGTCATTTTCTCACAATGCCTTCAGTCACTTGGGGCATTTCTCAACTAGAATATTTTCTTCTCCCATGTTTTAGTTCTGGATTGAGCCTTGAAGATTCAAAGAAATTGACATCTTCCCCCAGTGATCCCAAAGTAAAGAAAACCCCCACTGAGCAACCAAAATCCATGCTTCCTTCAGAGGTCTCTCCTACCAGGACAGACCCAGTGGTTCCCCTGTCAGAATGTAAAGAAGAAGTGGTGCAGATGCCCTCCCGAGTCAGAAAGGAAAAGCATGGAAGCCAGGAAGAGGCACAGCCAAGCTTCCAGTCTCCAGAGCCACCTCTCGCCTCAGCTAGCAATACAAAGGAGCTAAGCATTCTTCCCATCAAGTGCCCAAAGCCTGAAGATGTCTTGGAACAGAAGCCAGTTGCCTCTGCTGAACAGCAGCCTGAGAAAGAAAACCATGTCGCCTCAGCCTCTAATTATCACAGAAGTGAAAGCCAGGAAGTTTTAGTTACATCCCCAAGCAAACCCAAGAGTCCTGGGGTGGAAAAAGCAATAATGAAGCCCACAATAGAAGCAGGTCCACAAGAGACCAGCGTGAAGGAACCTCTGGTAACTCTTGCTGAGCAGAGCCCAGAAAGCCTCAAGAGAAAATCTTCCCTCACTCAGGAAGAGGCCCCTGCAAGCTGGGAGAAAAGGCCGCGTGTCACTGAAGATCGTCAGCACCAGCAGCCATTTCAGGTCTCACCACAGCCCTTTCTTAACAGAGGGGACAGAGTCCAGCTGCGAAAAGTACCGCCTCTCAAGGTAAGGGAGGGGGGAAGTGAAGAGGACAGATGGCCTGAGCACTTACATTTTGGTCACATCTCCCAGATGTCAAGTAAATTGTGGTATGAATGTTGGTGTGCGTCTAGCTGTGATCTTACACAACTAAAATTACTGATGAGCAGGCATGTAGAATTACATTCATTCCTACAGATCTTTCTTGAAGTTGGAATAAGGAACTTCAGTGTCTAATGTTAGACACCCTCACTCTCCCATGCTGTTACTTTTGGATCTTAAGACAGTTACAGAAATTATTCTCTTACATGTCAAAATAAGAGTGCCTTGCTGTATTTCTTAATGCACTGTGGTAGTATCTCTATAACTATCTTAATATATACCAACTCAAACCGGTAGAAGCCCTTCAAAATCCAAATACAGTTTTACTCCTGATCTTGACTTTTATTAACACATGGGCTTATTTTGAATATCAATTTGTAGTTCAGTCATTTAATAAATGCTATTTATTAGCAGTACTGATTTGCCAATTAGGATCCCTTGTACTGTAGAACATTACTCATTCACATTAGTATATAAGTAGAAAAATAGACTATTAAACACTTTCTTCTCTCTTACTCGCTCAAATTAATCCTTGGAAATTTTCTCTTAGTGTCACTTGATGCATTCAGCACCTTTCCTCACTAACATCTTACTTAGTGTTACTAGGTCTGATGTTCTTTGTTTTATTTCTGACATTTGGTTAAAATGTTATTAAAAATTTGTTATCTCTCTAGCTTTGCATTACAAAAACTGAAGTTATTCAAAGTTTAGCCTATGGTTTTAGTTTTTTAATCTTATTTTTTTGTCAGTACTAGAAATTGAGCCAAGGGCTTTATCCTCAGTACCGTTGTCCCCTTTTATAAATTCGAGATTTAAAATTCAGTAAGGAATATTTCTTTCTTCTTCCCTCTCCCTTTTTCTTTCCCTCTCCTTTACTTTCTTCTCTCTCTCTTTCTCTCTCTCTCTCTCTGATGTTGTAGTTTTTATGATAATTTTTACTTAGAAAAATATTAGAAACTTTTCTTTAATAGTATCAATCAGAACTGAGTTGCAGTTGCAGCTTTAAGCAGCAGTAGGTTGCTTTCTGTTTGGTTTTCGGTAAAGTTTGATTACATCACTCTGTGTTCTTTCGGGTAATCCAGAGAGATCCTGGATTAAAAATTTAATCTCACCAAGTTAATACAATTTTACTCTTTTTTTTTTTTTCCTTTGTCTTTGAGACAAGGTCTTGCTATGCAGTTCAGGCTGACCTGAACTTTGTAGCCCAGACTAACCTCGAATTTACAGTTATCCTCAACCTCACGAGTGCTGGCATTACAAGTGTGTGCCACCACACCTGGTTTATATTTACAAATTTCTCCTTTTTTTTCCCTTTAATCTCCCTCCTCATACCTGTAAAAAAGATTGCACCCTAAATTACTTTACTCTTAAACTTGCTTTATTCTTAGACTTAGATCTCACCTGCAAATACAAAGCTTAATGTAATTTACAGCACAGCAAAGCCTTTTAAACAAAATTTATATAGATAATAAAATTTGAATTTTAGTACAAATAAGTTTGTTACATTATATGTATATAAAAGTTTTATATATATAAATCATACATGAGGTAGCTTGTACAAATGAAACCTGTTATGAAAAGTTTTCGCCTGTTTTGATGCTTGTCTTTGATATCAACTATTATTAATGATTTTCAACCATTATAGATATCTATTATGCTAGGTATGGTGTCACATTTAAGACTATAGTCTTAGATACCACTGTTTATCCTTATTTTAGATTCTCTAACTTTCTTGTATTTAATCTTCTAGTTTTATCTATTTTCCCCTATGGTCTCTTCTAAGTGATATTAACAAGGGGAAACAGTTAATTCTTTCTTACCTGTTTCCTGTTTTTAGCTTCTGAAATACAGTGTGCTAAGTATACTATTAGGGGGCTGGGGATTTAGCTCAGTGGCATAAGCACCTGCCTTGCAAGCAGGCGGTGGTGAGTTCGATCCCTGGTACCGATTAAAAAAAAAAAATTGTCATCACCAAGTATACCATTAGGCTTATTACAGTTGGGTGTAAAGTCAGTTTGGGCCAAAGCGATTGAGTATATCTCATAATGTATGGTACATGCACTTTGTGACATCTATTATAATCCCACGCTTGACCTTCAAGTTACAGAGTCAGTCTTTCAGGACTGCCGACCTTTTGAGAAATTAATGAAAAGATACTTAGTGGCCATACTATTCTTAATGTTAGGATTTCCAAAAGGATGGCATGTACTTTTTCAGAGCTTAATAGCTTAATTTTTAAAAATTAAGTATTCTAGGACATCTTCTAACAATTATCTGCTCCCTTTAAACTCAACTAGTAATTAGATCTACATCTCAATGTACTGGAATTAACTATTTTGGGGGGAGTTACAATTTGTAAATTTTGGAATAGAATCCAAAGCATGCTTTTTTCCCCCTTGGCTTTTTGAGACTGTGTCTTGCTGTGTAGTTCAGGCTGGCCTTGAGCTCACTGTGTAGCCCAGGCTGGCCTCAAACCTGCAGTGATCCTCCTGCCTCATCCTACCTCTTGCTGGGATTACACGTGTGCTCCATCACGCCTGGCATTTAAAAGGCTGCACAGATGAATGTAATCCCGGCCAGGGGTGAGAATGACTAATGAACGTGTACATTACCCCCTCTGTTGTGGGAGAATGGGAAGGACCCTAGACACAAAATCATGTTGCTCAGTAATATCCATCATGTGTCATGAGTGCTGTTGTAGTCACATACTCTTAAGATGTAAATGGTAATAAAGTTTCGTTAGTCTTATAAATGAATACTAACCTCTGTTGTTTTTCACTGCTCTGTGTCTTTCAGATCCCGGTCTCCAGAATCTCCCCCATGCCGTTTCCTGCATCGCAGGTCTCTCCCAGGGCTCGTTTTCCAGTCTCCATCACTAGTCCTAACAGAACAGGAGCCAGAACTCTCGCAGACATCAAGGCAAAAGCGCAGCTGGTCAAAGCACAGAGAGCCGCAGCAGCCGCCGCCGCCGCCGCCGCCGCAGCTGCTGCAGCCGCCTCAGTCGGAGGGACCATTCCCGGACCAGGCCCTGGGGGTGGACAAGGTCCAGGAGAGGGTGGTGAAAGGAAGACCACTGGAGGAGGGAGTCCAGGCTCAGACAGAGTCAGTGCACCTGGAAAGGGCCCTACATTGGAACTGGCAGGAACTGGAAGCAGGGGAGGTCCGAGAGAGCTTTTACCCTGTGGTCCAGACGCTCAACCCCAACCTGAGACCAAGAGCCCAGGCCAGACACAGCCTCATAGTGTTTCAGGAGCACAACTACAGCAAACCCCCTCAGTGCCTCCAGCACCTGCCATCAGTGGAGCACGCACAAACGCCGCATCACCAGCCCATGTAGAGAAATTGAGTCATGAAAACCTGGACCCTACCACAACAGCCACAGTGACCTCCCCTAGCCACTCACAGAGGCTCAGTGGTTGTGGACAGGAGAGGGCTCCTTCTCCAAAAGGGCCTGCTGTGATCTCAGGAGCCTCCCCTGTTCATTTTGTGGCTGATGGCACAGTTGAACCCAAAGCATGTTCTAGTAAGAATATACCAACCCCTTTAGCCTCAACAAAGACAACTGCTGTTACTCCAGTGGATGTGGCTCCCTCCCCCTTGACATCTTTATTGACAACTACTACTATAGAAAAGCTTCCTGTACCCCAGGCCAGTGTAACTGTAGCATCTACTGGATCAGCTCCATCCTCAGCTGCTTCTAGCCTTAAAACCCCAGGAACTACTGCAAATATGAATGGACCCATTTCAAGATCAAGCTCCAGTATCCCTGCTAATAATCCTTTAGTTACTCAGCTTCTCCAGGGCAAAGATGTTCCCATGGAACAAATTCTGCCTAAGCCTCTCACCAAAGTTGAAATGAAAACTGTTCCACTGACTCCAAAAGAGGAAAAGGGGGTAGGGCCACTCACAAGTACCACTGGGACAGAGACTAGCACCAGAGAGGAAGTCAGTGATAGACAGCCCCATCCGATGGTTATCCAGCAGCTGGGGAAAACCTTGCAGAGTAAGCAGCTCCCCCAGGTCCAAAGGTCCCCACAGCTGTTTTCAGCTAAGGACCTGAGGGACTCTAGCATTGATACACACCAATACCAAGAAGGACTGAGTAAAGCAACCCAGGATCAGATCCTTCAGACTCTGATCCAGAGGGTTCGGAGGCAGAACGTTGTCTCATTTGTGCCCCCTTCTCAATTTAACTTTGCTCACTCAGGTTTCCAGGTAGAGGACATCTCCACAAGCCAGAGGTTCATGCTGGGTTTTGCTGGCAGAAGGACATCCAAACCTGCAATGTCGGGTCACTACTTACTTAATATTTCCACCTATGGCCGAGGTTCAGAGAGCTGTAGGAGGAGCCAGTCCATAAACCCTGAAGATCGCGTTTGTCTCAGTAGCCCCCCTGAAGGCTTGAGAATGGAATACACAGATTGTAGAAACACAGCAGGGGATAGTAGCAGTGGCAAAGATGATGAAACTGATGAAGAGAGTTCTGAGGAGGAGCAGGACTCAGTGCTGGTGAAGGAAGAGCCCCAGGCCTGCCAGAACTATGGCAAGCATGATGCAAGTTCAGGACCCCAGAGTAGGGAAGCCCCCTCCACCAATGATGGTTTGGCCAACAAAACGGTGAAGGCTGAGGCACCAATGAATGAGCACACCACGCTAAGCAAGGGAAGTTACCTGTTCCCTAGAGGCCAAACATTTGATGAAAAGACCTTAGCCAGAGATTTTATTCAGGTGGCCCAGAAACAAATGGCTCAGGCCGTTAGAGGTAAGGTGATGTGCAGCAGCCCTGAGCTGTTCAGTTCCACTGCTCTTTCTCTGCCTGCAGACAGTCCCACCCATCAGCCTCTGCTCCTTCCACCTCTGCAAACCCCAAAGTTGTATGGAAGCCCCACACAGATAGGGCCAAGCTACAGAGGAATGATCAATGTCTCCACCTCATCAGAAGTGGACCATAGCTCTGCTGTACTAGGTAGCCAGGTGTCTAGCAGTGTAGGTGATGTCATGTCCTTTTCAGTGACTGTCACTACCATCCCTGCTAGCCAAGCGATGAATCCCAGCAGCCATGGCCAGACAATTCCTGTTCAGGCCTTTCCTGAAGAGAACAGCATAGAGGACACACCTTCAAAATGTTACTGCAGGTTGAAAGCCATGATCATGTGCAAAGGTTGTGGCGCTTTCTGCCATGATGATTGCATTGGCCCCTCCAAACTGTGCGTCTCCTGCCTTGTTGTTCGGTAATGAGTCTTGCAAGATACATGCTGCAAAGGAAGGGGGAAAGGTGGGGCTAGCAGGATGTGTTTCTGCATCATTTTGGAATCACAGAAAAAAGGGTGGGTTTGTCTGAAGAGACAGTTAATCAGGAATACAGAGTACAGGTCTTTTACATTTTAGAGGAAGCGCACCTTGTATAGTAAGTCTAAGTCAAGCAAGACTTTGTGAATTTGTGACAAGTTTGCACTTAAGAAATCATGTAAATATGTCACATTTTGTTTTAACATTTTTTCAGTGTTCAGTAATGATGTATTATTCTTTAAATTCTGATGTATGTTTCATTTCATGTGACACTGAAAAGCGGAATGCCATTTGTGGTGACAGGAAGCTGTCTCTCTTTTTTACCTTTCTTGAAACTTAGGGGGAAAAAGGAGTGGTCTGTAAAGAACTGACTGTTCATGCTGATTGTGCCCTTGCAGTCTGGCTGGACGTTATTCTTAGGTTATTTGGCCTTTTCAAGATTTGGATTCTGGGTTTGCTCAGTCCCTTGATGGAACCTTCTTGAGTGAAAGTTTTTCACAAGGTATTAATGTCATGGGCAGTGTTTGTTTCTGACCCAGAAAGCCCTGGCTTGGTTCTTGGCTTTTGGAAACCAGCACCATTATCGTGCCGCGCCCTGCTGCTCCCTAATCCCACCCCCTCATCTAAAGTAATGACTGTGGTCTGCCAAGAGAGTGCCTTTCTGGACCCCACTTTGTGACTATTCTGTGCATGGCGACAGCATTGCAGTAAGACCTGTACAGTTTCTCACGGGGTTGTACAGACAGGTATGAGCAAGCAAGGGTCAGTGACGGTGCATTGGACAGTGTCACTGGACAGGGAAGCAGAGCTGCAGAACTGTCAAACCCAGTGCAGAGAACTTTGGAAGGGATGTAGTGCTGGCAGCCAGGTATTGTGTGTTTACCTCCGCTCAGCCTGCTGTTACACAGTCAGCTGTTGTGCTAGAAGAACTCCTTAGTGGCTTGTTGGCTGCTTCTGGTCAACTTGCTTTGATCTCCAAGGTGTCTGAGGAGTAAGTAGTAGTCTCACTAGATCTTACACGTGTGTGTGCACAGACATGGTGCAGGGCACTGCTGTTTTTGAAAACCTGTCCACTGTCACAGAATTCCTGTTCTCTGCACTAGGGATGTCTGAGGTAGAAGGACTTCAGTGAGTGGCTAAGGGATTGTCTAGCAAGGAAGGAAAGTTAGTTCCTAAATTTCATGGAGCTTTTTATTCTTTTTAAGTCCTCCTCTGATGATTAAAAAAAAAATTTCAAATACGTACTTTTTAGGTCACGATTAAAGAACTTTTTTTAAAAACCCTACAGTTGAGCTAGGTATAGTGGCTCACGCCTGCAATCCCAGCACTTGGGAGGCTGAGGCAGAAGGATCGCTGTGAGTTTGAGGCCGGCCTGAGCTACATAGGAAGTTGAAGACAGCTTGAACTGCATGGTGAGATCCTGCCTCAGAAAAACCCAAAAAATAAGTAAACTCTACAGTTTCACCCAAATTTGGTGTTGAGAATGTTACTGTACACATTTTTACTTAGTTCTCCTAATTTGAGGTGTGTATAGTATTAGTGCACCAAGGTGCAGTTTTGTTTACACATAATATTCTAGGTGTGAGTCTTACAAAATTCAGAACAGTTTAAAATGTTTATTAAGTCACATTCCAGACCAAGAGAAAGGCGGCAGGAATCTGTGGGGCCCCTGTCTGCATTCTGCTGCCTGCCCCAGCCCACCACGCACTCTCTGTTGCTTTTCTGCCGTGTCTGCTCCAGACTGCATAAGCAGCTCCAGTTTCTTATTTTTCTCTGGCCATTTGTTGTGGCTTAAGGCAAATACAGAATAACTGGGTTCCAGTTTCAGCCAAGACAATATGGTGGCCTTCAATCTTCCCCTCCTCTCTCAGCACATACATAGCTAAGAGATTAAAAAGGCTTCGAGCATCCGGGGATAAGTTCTCCAGTGAAGGACCGGTAGGAGACTGACTAGGGTTGCCCAGCTCCCAAACTTTGATGCCTTGGGTAATCCGAGGGGGGTTATTGACAAGCCTGTTGGTTGCCATGACTATAATCCCAGCCTCAGCTGTACAAGACCCTGCCTCAAAAAAAGAAGTTGGTGAGGAGAACTTCCCTGCCCCGTCCCTTTGCTGCACCCCTGACTGCTGAGTGCAGCCCTGTGCCCAGAGAGTTCCGTGTTCTGGAGTTGGCCCTGTGCTGCACAGCAGTCACCAGTTTGGAGTGATGAAGGGATTTTTCTGCTTCACGACTACTGGAAAGGCTTTCCTCTGTGTTCCTTTATCTGAGAAGGAAAGGGTGTACAGGACGGTGAGGGCATCGGGTTTTCATTCATCAGAGAAGAAATTTCATGGTGCCTCTTCCTCAGTCCTGGCCTTGCAGCTAGGTCCCAACCTTTGTTTTTCATGTGATTCTCCCAAACAGTTCCCAGGAAAATACTTGCATTTAGTTGTACTTCAGAAACAAATGGCCATCTAGATGTGTTGCTTCAGACTTGGCAGATGAGAGAATACATCTTAGATTGGCGGCCAGTTCTCAGTCCACTTCATTTGTTTGAAGTCAGTAGTTTCAAGTAGAAAGCCATTCATTTTGTAAGCTGAACAGAAAAAAAAGTGGCCCTTTAAATTGTTAGAGTGTGGTTCTGTAATAACGTGAGAGTGAGTTCTGGCTTAGTTGTTTTACCTTTAAATTCATCCTTAAGTGCTGACCAACTGTTAGGGCACTGGGTGGCACGGCAGCCGCGTCTGAGGGATGTGCTTCTGTGCGCGCTTCCAGCCTTCTGGTTCCCTCCCCCCAGCAAGGGTGTTCGTGATGGACCTCTCATTCTGATTTATAAATGTTCTACGTGGTGTAGTAAACAGTCCCTGAATCCTAAGATTTTGGATTATTCAGAATTCTGCATCCTGTTAAGCAGAGAGGAAAGCCAAGTAACGTGGATTTGTTTGCCCTGCTTTAGTTCCTTTGCCCCTGTGTGGAAAATCCTGCAGCTATCCGTGGTATTCTTGTAACATTTCTGAGGGTAAGAGCTGGCCAGTGGGAAGTTTGCCTTGGAGTGGGGAGAAGTAAGCTTCCGTTGGCTGGGAAGACGCAGTTGGAGGTATTTTAGAGCTTATCTCAGATTTAAATAAGTCGCCAAAGGAAGACCTCATTGCCTTCCAGGTGAGGTGCAGTGTCCTACATACTAATCACTTCTTACTGCCTTTTTCGGCCTTAGAGATCCTTAAAGAACTCTTTGGTTAAATGATTAGCCATAATGAGAGGTCTCTGGTCATCATACTGCTATTTATTTCTAAAATTCACTGTCAGCAGTGCCAGGGTCGCTTTCTCTTCAGTGTCACATCAACATCGTTCCGAGGAGGGGAAGGTCTCCCCATCGCATTAACGCCGGTGTATTAGGTAAACCCCTCGGCCCAGGACGAGTCTCAGCTTGTTTTATAGAATTGTCCAAAGAGACTGAGGAACATGATGACAGGCAGGGTCCTCTCCTTCATGTTTCGATACCTGCACACCTATTGAAAGAAAACAGTAGGTAAGATGTTTCCTAAAGTTGAAGCAATAGCTTCTTAGAGTCTTGGTTACTTTATTTTTTTTAATGCTTTACATTTGATACAACTATTAAAGATCAATTTTAAATATAGCTTTCCAGTAATATATTTTAAGTAATAATATATTTTAATATCTATGTAAAAGGTGACAGTGGAAGACTTTAAATTTCTCACATATGGTTTATGTAATGTAAGACCACACTATTAAGGTACACGTTGTTTCAGAGGAAGTTGCCCTAAAGATACTCAGATTATTTCCAAAAAATGCAATAATGGGGATAGTTTTGGGGTTTATTTTTTATTTTAAATGGAAATTGACTTATTTACCACAAACTATTTTTTCCCTCTGGCTATAAGGTTTGTACAGACTGGTTTGGTAAATGCTAAACTTTTGTGTCTCTTGCCTTTTTCAAGGAATTGTTAACATTGGAATTGAGGGTATGTACAGAGAAGTTGGTGTCAACACCATTTAATATGACATATTTTTTCACAAATATAGAAAAAATCATTTTACATAAGAATTTTAAGTATTTGCAATAAATATATGTATATAGATTGTATGTATTCATATATTATTTTTCATTTTATTATTGAGTAAAAGATAATTAAAAGTGACATTAAAACCTTGGAGTTTTTGGTGAATCTTGAGGTCTGACATACACCTGAGAGTGGTGGGGGAAGGTGTCACAGACCCTGTGGAAGGGACTAGAACGGGGCTGGGTGACAGGGCAGTGCATCCCTTCCCAAACTTGAGCAGAATTCTTCTAGCTCCTTGTTTGCCCCCACAATCTGTTTCCAAAAGTGAAGAAAATGGGAGAGTGTTACTGGAGAAGTGAAACCACAGGGGAGTCTCACGTGTATTCGTTACTCCTTCTAAACAGGTAAGGAAATGCTTCAGTGGAGGGATGGATTGGTTTTCTCCGTAGTGACTGATTTATTAGTAGGCATTTGCCACTGCCACTCTCCAGGCCTGGCATATGTGAGGAAGTCATCTGTTGAAGGTACAAAAAATACGATTTCTGTTTCTCAGTTCTTCTCTGAGAGGTGAATTTCACAGCCACAGTTCCAGTCATGTCCTGCCAGACTAATGGAGAGACTGCAGGTGACTGTGAAGGGAATGACCTGTGTTGATTAGATTGTCTCCGTGTTTGACACTTGAACTCCCTGGTGTCAGAGAAGTTTCGGAAGTAAAGACTGAGCCAAGTGTTAAGAGAGGCTGGTTGTAGTCCCACACCTAGGTCACTAACTTAACAGAACTCGTCTGGTGGCTGTAAAATACTTGGTTTTAGAATATGTTGGAGCAAAATTGGATAGATGGTCTTTGGAAGTCAAGGTATATGGCCTCTTTAAACATGGATAATGTATGGATTTCTTGATGACAAAAGGAAAATTGATATAGTCAGATTTTCAAGAATATGAGACAGGGTCTCACTGTAGTTCAGACTGGCCTTCAACTTACGATTCTCCTGCCTCAGCCTCATGAGTGCTGGGATTATAGGCATGTACCACCATGCCCAGCTCAAGAAGTGTCTTAATGATCCATGAAACTTTTTTGTTGTAATTCACTAGTTGTCTCCAAAATTCCTCAGCTGTTTTCACGGAAAAAGTATATTTTGAAAATTAATATCCAGCAGTGCTTTTAAAAGGGTTTAGCTCAACAGCACAAGTACCTGCCTGGTACAAGCATGAGGTCATGAGTTTGATCCCCAGTGCTAGGGGAGAAAAACAATAATTTTCTTAAAGGCAAGATCTGGGTGAAAATGTAGGATGGGAAGTGGGTGGGATAGTAAAACTCAATTGGATTCTAAGGTATTAAAAGCTGTGCAGTGCCCAGCAGGCTTATATATCCTGTTGTGATTAAGAATGAACTGATTTTTAAAAGTAGGACTTTCAAACATCCCGGTAACAGTACTTTGGAGATAGTTTGTCCATCCAAGAAAGCGGATACTAGATCTTACCAGAAAACGCCATTTGTGAAGGAAGTTCATTTGAGTCTCGGAACGTCTGCATCCTTTAAGTCCAACATACGTTGTAGTTGACAGAGGAGTAGCCAGTGCTACATGTTTCCCAAGACACATTTGGAGTACAAGCGGGGTGTAAAATACAAGTAGTCAGGACACCGGACAACGCAATGGTAAGACATGAAAAAACATTGCCTCTAGATGAGAAATAGGTACCGTGGAAGGGAGGAGTCATGGTAATAAGCTACTTTTTTTAGAATGATTATGGGAATACAGTTAGTGGGCTTTAAGAAATCTCTTAAATCTAGACAGAGAGGCAGACCAAAAGAATCCTTTAGGATTCACTCAAGTCAGTTTTCAACTCATCCTTTCAAACAACAGTTGGGGTAAGTAACACAGCTTTCTGGTCACTATGTAAACCCAAAAGAAGCTAAAGGGGATTTTTTGTAAAGCAAGATTTTTCATCTAGGTGAAAAGGAGGTGAGTCCGTAATGAATAAAACTAGTGTTCCTGGTTTTCTCTTCTTACCATTGTAGAATTCTCTCTCTCTCTCTCTCTGTCTCTCTTTCTCTCCCTCTCTCTCTCTCTCTCTCTCTCTCTCTCTCTCTCTCTCTCTCTCTCTTTCTCTCTCTCTCTCTCTCTCTCTCTCTCTCTCTCTCTCTCTCTCTCTCTCTCTCTCTCTCATCAGAGAACATGAATTTAAAAGGGCTCTAGCATACTCCCATACCAGTGGTTGCAAACCTATGGCATGTGTGCTGTAGCAGGCTATTTAATCATTAAAAGCACTAAAAGGTTTGCCCTTACTGCCCTATACATGTTCATTTTAGTAACACCTAAAATCCTAACCTTAATCCTAATTCTTTCTGTAGGGCTTTTGGAATATAAAAGTTGTAAAAGGAGAAATAGTTACATTTTGTCAGTGCTTAGTCTTGAATTTTCCTTACCACTTTAACCTAGATTATTGGCTTTGCAACCCAGTTTCTGTGTGCTAAGATATGTACACTCACCTTTCAGTAACACAGATGTTAAAGGTATTCCACTGTGTAATGTACTCTCCACTCTGTCCTGGGAGTGGAGGATGGGAGGATGAATAGCCTTTATTTCTCTAATACTTGGTGATTTGGCAAAGGTTGGGTTTCTTTCATACTGGGTAGACCAAGAAATTAATACTGGGGCTGGGGATTTAGCTCAGTGGTATAAGCATCTGCCTTGCAGGTGTGCAGTCATAAGTTCGATGCCTGGTACCAAAAAAAATTAAAAAATACTATGTACTTTCAAGTAGCTTCTAGCCTTTACCTAAAAAAACGGTAACCTTAAAACTGTTCCTAACAACGTGGATAGAAAAAACCTTTCCAAGTTTAGAGATTAGCAGCTGTGGCTAGAAAGTGGGTTCTCCTGAAGGGCACCTTCATTTTTCTTCATTCTTCAAATCCAGAAGAAGTTGGTGGGGGAAGCAGGGGTGCCTTGATTTTCACCAAACTGGAGGAGTCTTGAAGAGAATAAGCGACATACACGTTTTAAAAAGTTTGAATTAAGTTACTTTCTAGTTTTGGGTTTCCCTAACATGGCAGATTGCCTTGCGTATAACGTGGAATTTGGAGACATGTGAGGGGCCGAGGGGTGGCTTTGTGTGAACTGTGGCAGCTTTAGGCCCCGGCTTTTACACACAGCCCGTGTACTTGCTATGGAAAGTACAGTATACAAGTTTTTACGTGTCTTGGGTAAATTCCTTTAAGAAAGCCCAGTTTCATGTTTTAGATACCTAGAGCTTGGACATGAAGTTGGGCTTTGGTCCTAAGTCAGCAATTCTTTTCCACGTTAGGTTTTCGGGTAACTGCTAACCATTTGGTAACTCCGTTAGTGACCCCATCTGAACCTGTATGTAATCACTTCGCCATGTTTTAAATTAAAATTCTGCCCATCTTGTATTTGTCTACTCTGTTAGGTTCTATGTTGGGGAGGACATAATAGCTTATTCTCTGATTAAAGAGTAGAGAACTCAGTTTCTAGAATCCATGAACGATGAGAAGCACATGACCAAACAGAAATGAAAACCTATCCGTAAGTGCATTGACCGACTTTTTTCAGGACTCCTCTTAGTTGTGTGACTCGCTGTAAGACACTTCTCACCAGTGCCAAGGAGAGTCTGAAACGAAAGAAATGACCTTCTGCTGGTCTGGTCCACATTAAAACCTTTGTGCGCACAGCTCTGAGCACGCTGACAGGTGGAACTCTGCCTTTCAGTGCTCACCATCTTTATTCCCGACTTTCGGGCTCCCTTCGACGGGTCGCATGGACACTACCTTCTTCAGAGTGGAATGCATAGTGTTTCTGCACATGGACAAGCTGTATCTTAGTGGCTCGCTTCAATAAAGGCTTACAGTTTACTCTGGCCATGGTGCCTTTTCTAAAGAAACCAGATACCTGTGCATGGTTTGCCTGCCCTTTGCCCCAGCCCTGTACCTGATGGCACAACTGCTCCTGGGTCATGACTGTGTTCATCTCTTAGTACACACTCCCAGGGGGCTCAGGAGCTCATTAACACCCGAATGTGTATCTTTCAAAAATAAGGAGCCAGGCATGACGGTGACTTCCTGTCATCTCAGTACTTGGGAGACTGAGGCAGGATTGCTGCAATTCGAGGCCAGCCTGAACTACACAGTGAGACTGTCTCAAGCAAAGAGGCTGGGTGTGGCGGCACGTTCCTGTGATCCCAGCCCTTGGTGGCTGAGATGGGAGAGTCACTGTGAGTTTGAGGCCAGTGTAATGCCGTCTGGAGTACATGGTGAGACCCTGTCTCAAAAAAACAATCATAATAAAAACGTGGTACTGGTGTGAGAACAGATAAACCAAACCAATGGAACAGATTAACCCAGAAATAAACGCACATGTGTACAATCAAATGATTGTCAATGTGAGCGCCAAGCTCAGTCAGTGAGAAAATGACAGTGTTCACAAAGGGTATTGGGGAAATCTGATGTCCACGTGCAAAAGAGTGAAGGTGAACCCGTAACGCATGAACAAAGATGAAGGGAAAACAGTTTATAAAAGTCAAGGAATTTCATAATTGGACCTGAAAATTATCTCTAGAATGTGCAAAAGCTGGCAGCAAAAGGAAGGATTGTTACAGACTGGACTTAAGATTTTTATGTATCAAAGGATATTATCAATAAATAGAGTGAAAAGACAAGCTTCAGAAAAGTGGGAAATATTTGCAAATCATCTGGTAAAAATGACTTCAAATATACTCAAGAGTAGAAGACAAATATTTTTCCAAAATTGATGGACATGGCAGAGATAACAGTGCTGTCCAGGATGTGGCGAGACGCGCTCACATACAGCTGCCCTGACCGTGTGATTGGTCCTTAAAAATTAACTGCTATGTGGTCCAGCTATGCCCTCCTGGGTGTGTGCCCTGAGAAGTGGAAACGGACTGGAAACGGACTGAGGACATTGTACACCAGTGTTCCCAGTGAGTCTTCCGGTGGAAGGGAGCCTGATGATCACGGACAGATGAATGGGTGAAAGTGTATGTGCAGTGCAATCTTCAGTCTTACGGAAGGCAATTCTGACTTGCTACGTGGATCAGCCTTGAGGGTACCAGCGCAGGCCCCAAAGGACAGATAACAGTGATCCCAACTGGAGCGGAATTTCCACTGCGTGTGATGAGAGTCTGGGCGCGGATGGTGGTGCTGGCTGCACAACAGTGAATGTGCTTAACGCACCCCCCTAAAAATGGTGTGAAGGGGTAAATTCTGTGTCTATTATGATTTTAAAGTAATAAAAGGAAATCCCAAGTAGATAAAATTTGTGTGACAATCTCTCTGAGAATCCTGAGTGGGTTCACTTAAAGAACTGGTGGCGTTGTACGATTTTGAAAGTGGTTCATTTCTGTAGAAAAGGCTGTCAGTCTGAGACCACGTGGTGTTTTTCAGCTCACACATCTATGATGGCAGCCAGCTGTGATGCTTCTGAGTAATATTTTTACATTGATATGTTCCAATTACTGAGAACAATAATTACCAAAGACCTTAGAATCTAGGTGGTAGGTTTCCTTTTTGGTATGAAAAAGACATTTGAGGGAAAGGTGAAAAATTATGGATAAGTATTTAAGTAAGTTTTGTGATGATTGACAAAAGCATACTGAGTTGCCATGTTATATTCCTGCATGGGAACAAAGAGAAGAGTTCTGTTCTCTGCACACTGGGGATTTGAGAGGCCAGCATTAGTTTGAAATAATGACTTGGGATATTAGATTTAGGAGACAAAGGGGAGAAAACATTGCCTCTTCAGGTTTGTATAATTTTGTGTCTACACTTATTTGGAAACTTCAGTTCCTTTTATAAATGCAAGAACAGTGATTATGGCCATGGATAGTTAAACCATTTCAGGGCATCTAGATTTCTTAATTCACCGAGGTTTGCTTGTTAACTGAACCCATTACTGATTTGCTTCTAGACTTGGACATTGTCTCATGTTTTGAGAGTGTAGAAGTGACACATATGCTCTCCACTGGGAAGTAATTATCACCTAAATTAAAAAATCACAATAGCAGCATTACATGGTAAGTAACCAGATGATGGCACAGAGAAGAGCTTGAGCATGTGGGCTCCTTTTTAGGTGGGTGACACAAAGTCTTCAGGATACTACTAGGGCCAAAGCCCCAAGGCTGGAATGAGCTTGTTAAGTGCATACTGGACCTAGTAAGGCTGCTGAGAAAAACTCGAGAGAGTGGTGGCAGATGAGAGGAGAGCTGGGCTACAGGCAGACCAGGTGAAGCCACGGTGAAATAATGTTTGGTTTTTAAAATATATTTATTTTAGAAATATACTCCTTAAATAATACTGTCGTTTTGGAGCTGAACTACGAGTGTGAGAAAATTGAGGTAGACTGAGAAGACTGATTTAAGTTAGGATGAAGGAGGTGAGAAATGTGCAGGGCGTAATTAGAAACAGACCGAGCAGAAGAGGTTTACAGATCCCACACCTGCATATGAACGCTGCCTTTTACACTGGTTTTTGGTTGACTTCGCTTTCCATCTACTTGGTAAGTCCCAGCTCTGCAGTTTGCTTTTGTGTGTGGAAGTGAGTGTGAACACGGTCAGCAGAGCTGACTGAGCTGCTCTCTGATGTACCCCGAGCATGTTAGCATGTGTCAGGGCTGGATGCTGAAGGGTACTGGGACCAAACCTGGATTTTACCATCCTATTTTACCATGCTCTGCCATTAGAGTTCTCTGCTTTGGGTGATTTATGTTATAAACAATGAAAATATTTTTATTATAGTTATTTCTAAAATATCATGTTACTTGTTTTCCAAAAAAAAAAAAAAAATGGAGTTCAAAAGAACCCTGTCACACTACAAAAACTAACAGTGCTTGGGCTGGGAATACAGCTCCGTGGCATAGCATGTGTCTGGCAAGTGCAAGTGCAAGGTCCTGAGTTTGATTCCTAGTACCAAAAAAAAAAAAAAAAAAAAGAAAGAAAAGAAAAGTTAGCAGGGCTCTCAAAAGCAACTGTGCCTTTTTAAGGAAGTGAGCTCTTGGGGATAATTCTGCAGTGACAAGGGAGAGTTACAGATCTTAAAAACCAACACAGAGAATGGCACCAGTGACACCACTGTAGGTCTGTTCTGGGACCTAGGACAGCAGCCAAGGGACAGAATGTCAAATCAGATGGGCAGAGATTCCCAAGGTATCACAAGAATTGACGGCAGCTAGGAACAAGTGTTTTTGTTTTTTGGTACCAAGAATTAAACTCACAACCTTGGTCTTGCCAGGCAGGCGCTTGTGCCGCTAAACTAAGTCCCCAGCCCTTGAGTGTCTTTTTTTTTTAAATAAGCAAAATCAGAGTCAATGATTTCGGGGTGACAATGTGCAATGTGCCCTGATTGATGTGCTTTGAAATTTTGTGGCAGTTTTTTCCTCCTCCTCCTCTTTTTTTTATCCTTGAGATAAAATGGATTTGGAAAAAATAAAAAATAAGCAAAATCAACTATCCCTCCCACAATCCACTGAAGAGTAAAGTTCCTGTGGAGAACATCTGAAAAAGGGATAGACTGTAATAATCTCAGACCAAAACACAAGCTATTAAAGCTAATGAGGGCTTCTGGTTTTCACTACACATTAATACAAAAATAGGAAAAACCAGTGAAATTAAGAATCCCATTTACATGAAATTTACCACAAATGCAAGTAGTGCTTTTCCAGGCACGTCTATGTATGTGGAGGTCCGCATCAGTGTTTCTACATTATGAAAATAATTCACATGAATGACAAACTCCAAATCTGGGGTAGTACTTCTAGGATCCAGAAGGATATTGACTGACTGTGTAATTGTTTCTTGAGGTGTAGAATGAACTGTACCTTTCTCTTTTTGTTATCTAAAATAGTTCTTAAAATCCAGTCAAAAAAGTTCAAGTCATACCCAAAAGAATAAAATAATCTGCCTGTCTTCTTAAAAGGGAACACTTTTGTAGTTACTTTTACTTTGCCTTAAATTTTGAAGTCGCCTCACCCTCTTGTGACTTCCTAACCTCTACAATCAGGTCCCTTAATTCTTTTTTTTTTTTTTTTTTTTTTTGAGACGGGGTCTCGCTATGCGGTTCAGGCTGGACTTGAGCTCACTTTGTAGCCCAGGCTGGTCTTGAACTCGCAACGATCTTCCCACCTCAGCCTTCCAAGTGCTGGGATTACAGGCGTGAGCCACCATGCCCAGCTGGTCCCTTAATTCTTCAAGAAAATTATTGCCAACGCCAGTATCAGAGTCACCACTTTTCTGCCCCAGCCACGAGAGTCTAGGTGAGTGCCACCACATCTGACTCTTGCGCTTGGGGAAACGGTGCCACCACACCCACCATGCTTTTCTTCGTCTGTCTGTCTACCGTACTGTTCTGTTACTAGCTTCACCTTCCTGTCCCTTCCCCACGTTTTCTCATCTTCCTACTACTGGACTTCAGCCACATGCCACTTTCGGTTCTCAGACTCACTGAAAAACACAGCCAGGAGCAGTGTCTGAGGTCCACTGTCCGGATGGTAACAGCTGCAGATACACTGGGGCCAGAGGAAGTGACCCAGTCTTCCACTATACATGGGGAAGCGGAGGGGGAACAGTAACCAAGTGCCGTGCTGCTCCCAGCCCCCTAACAGCCTGAGGTACAGTTCTTGGGGTGTCCTATGTACAGGAAATAAGGATCTCAGATTTGTCTCGATACCAGTGCTTCCTACGTTCTGTTTTCAGTCCACAAAGGACGTAGTCCAGTGATCCCTAACTGCATGCTATTGAAAGCCCTTGGTTTCTGCAGTAAAAGTACTTACATTACTTCAAAAGTTCTGTAGACAGGGGTGGTAAATCAGAATGTTGTGGTAGATAATTCAGCATAATGAAGCAGTAATAAAACCAGTGGACAAATTATAATCATAAGCAGGCTTTTATTTTTAAATAACAAAATACTGCTTAACAATACAAAGAAACCACTTAGGTAACCAAAAATAGAAAGCTAGGAGTAAAAGGCACTTGGAAAGAAAGTCTTTTTAATCCAGTTTTCAATAAATTCATTTCACTCTATTCACTAAGATGATTGTGAAGTTTTTCATCACTTCTGGACAACATGGTTGATTCTATCTTTCCACAGAGGAGTAATGTTAAAGTATATAAATATACTCAGCTGCACCCAGAGTCACCTCCCAGTAAATCACTAGTCTAGCATTCATCGGCCATAAAATGCAGAAAGTACAATTCGAATAAAAAAGTCCGTAATAATTTAAAATATGATTCTTAGTTCTATTAAATGGTCACAAATACATGATCACATAAATGACAAAAGGTTATTTGCATATGACAAGAGTACACATGGAAGGATAACTAAGTCCCCTAATAGTACTATATAGTACTTGTTACAATTAGGTAACTTTCCTTGTCCCCTAAAACTTCAGGTATTGCTACTATGATCAATGGAACAAGATTGAAAAATATTTTACCCTAGGAGTACTCAGCTAACTCCTTAGAGGGATTTCTACTGCCGAGGAGTACCTGATCCAGTTCTTCATCTGTTATGTTGGGGATCCCTTTGGGGGTTGACTTGGTGTCTGGGGGTGTGCAATGTGGTCTTTGGAGCCCCTGTGGCTTCGGGCTCTGAGGCCCCTGGATTGCAACCGCTGCCTCCCCCTCATGATGGCTTCTTGATACCAATGTCTCTGCTCCAGCTGCTGCTGCTGGTTTTCTAACTGGCTTTGAATAGCTTCCAGTTTTTGGGCTTCCTGAAGTAGTGGCTTTAATGTCTTCCTCAGCTGCAGGTTTTCTCTGTAGAAGCCGCGGCAGAATCCAAAATGAGACTTCTGTGCTGTGTACTCCAAGGCTTGGGCCTTGTCAGCCAGATCCCTTCTTTTTCTCTCCCGCAGCTGCTCCCGAACCAGGTCCAGCCTTTTGATCTCTTGCTCCAGGAGGGCTTTTTGCTGGAGGAACTGGAAGTGGGCCTCGCGGTCCTTCATGTGTGTCTCCGCTGGGATCCTCTCTATCTGCTCCTGCAAGCTCTGTATTCTCCTGTCCTGCCTCTCCTTGATGGCAGTAATATTCCTCAGAGCCCTCAACTGCTCTTCCAATTTGAACTGGACCTTTGCACCCTGCAAAAGCTGTGCTTTCAGGTCCAAGGTTTCTTTTTCATACCTGGAAGCTAATTCTTGTTTGCTGTGCTCCAGCTGCTGGCATTGTTGGAAATACTCTTTCCATAGCTCCTCACACTTCCTCGCCCGGTGCTTACTGTTCTCAGTCAGGTAATCCAGAATAGATTTGCTTTCAGCCTCCACGAGGAGCTTTTCCTTCTGCACCTGCCTGTTCTCCTCCAACAGCCAGTTCTGCTTCATTTGAGCATCCTGGATTTGGCTGCTCAGCTTCCTGAGGGCCGCTGTAATCTTTTCTCTCAGTCTCTTCTCCCTCTTTGTCAGTTTCTTTGGTGGCAGGCACTGATGGAGAAGTATGAGACATGCCGATGGCGGAGAGGATCTTGTGCCAGTCTCAGCAAACCTGAAAGAAGACATTCTCTCATCGGTTTTTGTTTTGTTTTGTTTTGTTTTTTAAAGACAGGGTCTCGCTATGCAGTTCAGGCTGGCTTGAGCTCACTTTGTAGCCCAGGCTGGTCTCGAACTCATAACAATCCTCCTGCCTCAGCCTCCTGACTGCTGGGATTTCAGATATGTGTCATCACACCCAGTTCCCTTAACAGTTCTTAATCATAATGTAAGAAATAATTTTAAGACTGCACAGGGTCCTTTATTCCTAGAAAAGATCTTTTCAAGCACGCATTACGTTGCAGACACCGTGCCAGACATGGGCAAAGCGCTAGTGTAAAGATGGGGAATGTGGCTTCCCGCATACACTGTGCAATCCCTACAACCCTGCAAGGTATGAGCTCAACATTCCAAAGGAGAAAGCACCTGTAAGTGACCTGTGCACGACACATCACGGTTACAAGTGGCAGTCTAGGTGTGAAACTCAGTGTTTACGACTAATGGATTCCACTGGAGCAGCTCCTTAGGACCCCGGGAAGAGACTGGGTGGTTGGGTCCAGGAAGACCTTCCTGGGCTCCTGGAGCGTCTTCCCCACGTTTCCCGGAGCTCCTGGGGGAGCCCAGCGCGCCCTCAGTACTTACAATCTCTCAGGGCTGAGGCCCTCAATAGCGAAACTCTGTAGGTCACTGAGGGTGAGGACCGAGGAGCACGTGCTGAGGTCGGTAGGGGTCGTATGCTTGGAGGCACAGGGTCCAGTCGCGGGCACTTCCCGCCAGGACGCCACCCCGTGGTCCACGCGCTTCTGCGTGCGGGGCGTCAATGGCGCCTTTAGTGGTTTAATCGCGGCTGTCAAAGGAGCCCTGGCAGCCGGCGGCCCAGCGGCTCCCCTCAACTCTCTCGGGAGGATGAGAGCTCGCCTGCTGGGCGGCCGGGACTGGCCGGGTCGCCGCGCCGGGGATCCCATCCCCCCTCGCCCGCGCGACGACCACGGTGTTGTCCCTCGCAGGTCCTAGCCTCTGCCGGTCAGTTCCCTCGTAGTGGCCATCGACCGAGGCCCACTTGGCGGCCAGGGTCACCAGTCAGCCCCCGGGCGCGTTTAGACTCACAGAGGTCGCCCTCAGATCACCGCTCCGTGTCGTGGCCCTCGGGTTGCTAGGATTCCAGCCACAGTGGCCCGGCAACTAGACAGAGGGCGCTCTAGGCGCCTGGCGTCTCTATGGCGCGGGACAAAGATGGCGGCGCCGGGGCCGCTCTGGCCCCCGGCGGGTCCTGGGCTTTGTGGATTTGCTGGCGTGGGGGATGACGCGAGCCAAAGAAGCCAAATCCTTTTCAGGTGACGTGGTGGGCATTAGATGATCAGAGGTGCAGGGGGGAAGCAAAAAGGGAAGAGTAGGGGGGAAAAAGAGAAAAGGAAAACATGGAAACAAAGCCCTGGGAGGGAGGAAGCCTTGAAGGGAGGGTAAAGTACTCGGGAAAAGAAAAACCAAATTAGGTCATGTACAGCTACAAATTATCTTCGATGAATATGACCGTTATGTATATCTAAAATGTACTCCAAAATGATAGGCGATGCAGTAGGTTGCCCGTGGTGGGTGCAAGGCCAAGGAGAAAGGGAAGCAGTGTTTGAAGGGCTTGCAGGGTGCTGCCTGCGCTTCCGTGGGGCTGACCCCCATGTCCAGCTCTTTCCTCTCTAAGACCCCGGAGCCCACTTGGGTCAGCGAAGGTCGTCTGCTGCGCCTGCCTGGCCCTGAAACTGTCTCCGATCTAAAGGCGCCTGCGCGGAGGTTGAGCTAATGGGTACTTCCAGAGATCAGGACAACACTAACATGGAAGTTTTTGTGGAAGGAGCTGCCGAAGAATGATTTCTGGGGCATCTACCATGCAAATCTGGGGCAAATGCAGTCGATGAGTTTTTTGGTACTGAGACTCAAACTGAGTACCCTGTGTTTCCCAGGCAGGCACTGTGCCACCGAGGCGTACCCCCCCGCCCGAAGTTGATATTTTAGTGAAGACAAATCTTTATTTGTACGTAGAAATTGGAAGTGACGAGAATAGCAGAGGCTGTTCCACGAGTGAAGAGGACAGCATTTGAGGTGCCGAGAGTCGCGCTTTAGGGGTGGAAGGCCACCGTGCTGGAGTCTTCAGGCCTCATCGATGTAAAGGAAGTTTGCTGTGGTGCCCCTCTCCCTTCTCCTCCTGTGTCTGCAGTCTCACTGGCCACCTCCACCTCGTGTCACAGCCTGGACCCCGCTCTCCGTGGAGTGCCCTCTCTTGCCAGTATTGCTGAGCAGACCACGCCAGGCTTGTGTGAGATGCCCAGAGTGCGTGGCCCCCCGCAGCCTGCAGTCTCCCCGTGCCCGGGGCCTCTTGGTTCTCAGACTGTCTCCTTTGGTGTCTTTTGGAATTGCCGGAGCCCCTATTCAGACTTCTGACACATTTCTATTTTCTCTGTTTTTACTTCTTCCCTCCTGTTGCATGTCTTTGTGTTCTTCCCACTGGCCTTTATCTCTCCCCTCTTGCCGACCCTAGTGTGTCAGGATGCTGTCACTCTTGGACAATGAAGTGACAGAAAGTCACACTTAGTCCAGAACATCTAGGGCGTAAACCATCAACCGAATGTGATTCATGAATCTTTCGCTTCTGTTCCTTTTCTCAAGACTTAGTAAAAGAATGAGGGTAGTTATGCCAAGGTACACTTAGGGATCTATGAACCTTACTTTCATTCCAAGTTACATGGGAAATGTGTGTACCTCTAAAGCAGAACTTGGAGGAAGAATCAGGCTTTCTCAAGCAGTTTCTCCCGTTTCACAGTTATGCTTCCAGATTGCTCCTCACAGCTGCTGCCCCTGTTACAGATAAGGTACGTAACAAAGCTCTTACAGAGTCCTGTCAGAGTGTCCAGGTTCCTCAGGAGTCTGCTTTCCTTCAAGGCTGACCTCTGCTCTGGTACTGATAAGTAGACCATTATGCTGTGTAGATGGAGCCCTGTGACATCTTAGAAACTGTTTTCTCTCAAGAAGTGCAGATAAGGTAGATAACTATGTTTCTATGAACACAGTCTTGTGACACCCTGAACTCCCCTAGAACTGTTTTTCTTTCATGGCTAAGCTGAGCTCTGTCACTGAGTAAATAACTGTCTCTGTCTTTTTCGGGCCAGCCCCCTTGACCAAATGTGTAAAGACTGGAGCCTTTCCTTTGTCCGATGCTCAGCTGTTTTGAACATACCAAAGTGCCAGCTGAGCTCATGTGCTCCTAAAATCCTTAAATAAAATCCCGTTTTCCCCGTTGGTCTCTATGATTTCCTGCGTTCTGTAGCACCTGTGATGTGTGCATAGTGTGAGGAGAGGTTCCTTACTGCATCTGACGTGGTGGAGCTTGTGATTCTAAAAGTGATTGTAAATGAGTGTGAATCTTGATGCCTGATAGGATCCAGCTTCCTGATGGCAGGCATGGCAGTGTGCCCATTCTTTCCTTGCCCATCACTTCTAGATCCTGTTTACTTCATGTGCCGCTGTATGGGAATAAAAGGAAAACCTTGTATCAGGAGGCAGAGCTCGTTTTGGGCTGACTTTTGAGAAAATATCTTCCATGTTCTTACTTAAAGGATAGAATTTGAATAATTGATGGGAGAAATATACAGACCAGTGAATAGGTAGGTGTAGGTTTATAAAAGAGCACAAGTTCATTTTTAAAAATCCTATCTGTAGGATAAACTAGAGACTTTTATAGGTAAACGGACACAACTTGAGACCACACTCATAAGTGAAATGAATCAGACACACCTGTGTAAACATCATATTGTCTCACTAGCGTCAAATATGTATGTCTTAGTTACTTTTTACTGATTGTTGAGACAAAATACCTGACACCCAAAATTAGGGAAAGAAAGGTTTATTTCTTACAGTTCTTGGAGGTTTTAATCCAGATTCAGTTGGCTCCAAGGCAGGATGGCAGGGTGGTATGGTGGGCTGCTGTTAATGGCTAGTTGCAAACAATAAAGCAACAACTGGCAGAAGAGCTGTCCTGCTGAGCCATGATAAAAAGCACTGTTTGAAGCTAAATGGCCCAGAGCTTTGTCATAAAGAAATAAACAACCACAAACAAGAGTACCTGCTTCAGAAACAGTCAGTGCACTGAGAAAGAACCACCTGGTTAAGACGCAGACGTGATGATACTTCCTGATCCCTGTTCTCCTCCATTTGTATAGCGAGTGTATTTTAACTGGACGACACGAACTATTTTACTGCAGAGTTTCAGCTCCCAACTAAAATGATGAGAGATGCCACACACATCTCTCCCGGTTGTGTGTTCAGCAGTCCCCAGGTCCACAGTCAGCACAACATACCAAGATAAAAATTGCTGAATACTGAAGTGGGTTCATGAACAATATAGGAATCCAAGCAGCCAAGTTGATAAATTTGGAATTTAATTAGCTGAGCTCAGGACCACTCGCGTTGACCCATTTCAGAGTTTCACCAAGTGGTCCCGAACTGGAAAGTTACAAAGCTTCTAAAACAGAACCACAAAAAGACATCCTGTTGGAAACAGTTTAGCTCAAATCTTACATTAATTTTTGGTTGACACCTGTATCCTGCTTCTTTGTTGAGCAGGTTAATTTTTCTCTTATCGGTACAGCTCATTCTGCTTTTCTCATGGGTCTTATGCTCTAGGTAATTTTCCATTATCCTAGATCAAATAGCAGGTCACTAGTTAAATGGAGGGCTCAATATAGCATCAATAAAGCCAAGCTCCAGCAAATATGAGTGTCTATTTTTCAGTTGTAGAAAAGTCTGATTTAAATTTTGTTTTGTTTTGTTTTGTCTTATTTTTTTGAGACAGAGTCTCCTTATATAATCCAGGCTTGAATTGACCCAAGGATGGCCTCAAACTTGTGTCAACTGTCACTGCCTCAAGAGCTCAAGAGTTCTGGGATTACTGGCATGTGCCACCACACCTGGCAGAAAAGTCTGAATTTTTTTTGTCTTTTTGAGACAGGGTCTCCTATGCAGTTCAGGCTGGTCTTGAGCTCTTGAGCTCACTTTGTAGCCCAGGCTGGTCTCAAACTTGCAGTGATCCTCCTTGCCTCAGCCTCCTGAGTGCTGGGATTATAGGCATTCCCCACCACATACAGCTTTCTCTCTTTTCTTCTTTTTTCTTTTCCTTTTTTTTTTTTTTTTTTGAAGACAGGCTCTCTCTATGTAGTTGAGGATAGCCCTGAACTCATGACATAACCTAGACTGACCTTAAACTTGCAGTGACTTCTCTGCCGCAGTTTCTTGAGTGCTGGGGTTACAGGCATGTGCCACCATGCCTGGAAAAAGTTTAATTTTTAATAGAGAACAGCATACTTGCAGATATGATACTTCATCTGCAGTTAAAATAGAAAAAAAGCTACAAAGAGAATTACATAAAATATTTGGTATAAAAAGTAAATCAAACCCATACTGGGGAACATTCTAGAAAATAGCCAGTGAGTTCTCTGCCAAAGGATCACCCACAAAGAGACAAAGCCAGGGTCACACTAACAAACTGAAGGAGACCCAGTAAGGGAATCAAAGGTGGCATAATTCCCCAGGGTGCTGGCATTAGGGGAGCTGGGTGGAGACTGCCCGGGAAGCCTAAACCAGTTCTATAATTGCTCTCTAAGTCTAAAGAACTTCACATGAAAAGTTCTCTGAGAAATATATGGCTTCTCTGTCCCTCAGGAATCCCCCGTTCTTCCAAGTCAGCGGTGGCAAACCTATGGGACAGGTGCCACAGACAGCACGTGGGGCTCCCTCTACGGTGATGTCATGAGTTATATGAGTTGTTTTTCCTAAACTAAAACCCAGAACTGTTGCTGGGTGTGGTGGCGCACTGCTGTAACCCCAGCACTCGGGAGGCGGAGGCAGGAGGATCATTGCAAGTTCGAGACCAGCCTGGGCTATAAAGTGAGCCCAAGGCCAACCTGAACTGCAGAGCGAGACCCTGTCTCTAAACAAAGCAAAACAAAAAGCTATTGAGATTAACAAAGAGGACAGAGGGTTATAAGGGGTGGCTCTTAACCTTTCCAAAGGTAACATTTGGCCATATCAAGGTTAAAATTTTCAGTGGCAGATGCTACAATAGGAGGCAAGGATATATAGAATCAGCAGGCATCATGGTGCCTGTTTGTAATCCCAGCACCCAGAAGACTGAGGCACAAGAACTGATGCGTATCTGAGATCAGCCTGGGCTGTCAGTGAGCTCAAGGCCAGCCTGAACTGCAAAGTGAAACCCTGTGTCAGAAAAGCAAAAAACAAAACCAACCAAAAAATTAATAATAATTAAGAAATCTCAGAAATATGACCCCGAAGCCACTCTAACCACAGCTCGTGGGTGTGTATGAAATGGACATGCAGAAGTAAGGGACTTTTGGAACCACAAGCTCAAAACCTCTGAATGCAGGGTTAGAGATTAAAAGACAGCACAGGGAGGGAGCCCAGGAAGCATTGCCAGGTAGGCGGGAGACACAGAGGAAGACATGTTCTCTCCCGCTCTGGATAAACCTCTACCTCTGCTGTCAAAGAGGCAGAGAGCTGTGAACACTGCAAGAACTGCACGTTGCCAGCGTGGGATTTCAGTAGATGTGGCTGGAAAGAAAACCTCATCTCACCCCCTGGCCCCCGAGGATGCTTCTTGGGCTCTTTCCCCATGGAGGTGGCCTCCCCAGAGCTGTGGTCAGAGCGGCCTCATCGTGGAGTTTCCAAATTTTCTTTCCTCTTTTGCATAAATAGAGCCTTATTTTGCAGGTGCAACATAACCTCCATGTGCCACATAGTACCTTTCCAATTCTGAAAGGCTGTTGCCAGCGTTTAACCCTCTCTGCTCCTTAAAATGGCTTTCACACGAGTACTTTCATGAAGGTCGCTGTGAAGAAGGCACGTTGGAACCCAAACAAGACACAGCCAGGACACTTAGGGGCTTTTCAGTGCCCGCTGCTAAGACTTGAGCCCAGGGTCTCTGCATGCCAGCTCGGCTGTCCACCAATAGCGACACCCTATTAGTTAGCTCATTTATGCATCTGTTCATTATTTTGAGACAAGACCTAGTGCTAAATCGCTGGGCTGGTTTCCCACTGTTTAACCTTTTCCCTCGGCCTCCTGAGGAGCTGGAACTGCACTTGTGCCCCGCCATGTCCAGCCAGAATGGGCAGTTTTGAAACTGGTGAAGGAAATCGTGTGTCCACTCTGCATTCTCATCGGCATCTGTGCCACCATGAAACTTTTCAGTTGGTCAGGAGGAGAAATGAAGGAGTTATGTTAAACTGGCAATGACAGAAGAAATAAGTAGCGGTCACTATAATGTTTCGTTTGTTTGTTTTGTTTTTCACTGCAATCTGGTGTGGGATGCCTTGCGGGCCCTGCGTGGGGCCAAGGTGATGGAGCTGGTGGTGAGTCGGAGGTGAGCTCTGAATGGCTGGGTGGGGGTGCGTATCCAGCCTGGGCAGCTTAGCGACTTGGCAAGACCCTATTTCAGAATAAAAGAGTTGGGGATGTGGCTCAGTGAGAAGGCTCTGGTTCAGTCCCCAGTATTGCAAATAATCAATCAATAAGCCCGGTGTGGTAATCCCAGCAGGCTGGGAGACTAAGGCAGGAGGATCCCAAGCTGGAGCTCAGCCCAGGCACCTTAGCCAAAATCCTGTCCCAACGTATAAAAAGGCCTTGTGATGTCACAAAGTCTGAAGCCTTTTAACGCCAGTCCTGGGAAAAATAAAGATGGAAAAAGGAAAGTCCCAAATGTAGCTGTTCTGTAGTTTTTTAGCTCCTGAAATCTGATTAGAATGAAAAATTCGAGGCTACAGTACATTGGTGGGGAAATCCGTCCTGTCTAAAGCAGGCCCCTTGTAGGGGTGGGGCTTGAACCCCGTTTACACACACAGACACCTGCCCAGCTGCCAGGGACACGGGCTCTGCGGTGGCCAGGGCTGACCTGCTGGCCACGGCTCCCCTCCAGGCACAGCCATTCTGCAAGGAGGAGTCCAAGGCTCCTCTAGGAGCCTCTGCAATTAGACTAAATATAGCCCATGAGGCTGCATCTCGTTTGGAGTAATTATCCTGTCACCCACCAGAAGAACAAAGAATAAGGCATTTCCAGCCTCATTTGCATTCCTTTCAATAGTCAGCTCCCCTGGGCTCTTATGTAATCAGTCTGACCCCAGAGGAGAGCACAGGTCACCACACCGAGGCTTGGGCTGGTTGAGAAAGGCCATGGGGATGCGGCCAAGGCTCCAGTGAGAACCCCCAAGAACTGGGGGAGACTGGCCTGG